ACGCGGACCCCAACCAGATAGCCTAACAACATGACTCAGTCCACTTGTCAATGACTTCATGGATTCCTGCCATGTTTCGGTCTGGCCGCCCCTAACTTTCTTCCGACCTACTCCTACACTACAAAACATCGCTCGTCGAGGCAGTCAGTGGTTAGGCATGCTTAACACATATCCCAACCACCTCAACTGATGAAGCTTCAATGTTTCATCTATTGACTTGCCATCCTTACCTAGAACTCGTTTCCTAACGATAGCATTGCTTGCTCGGTCGTCCCAGGATACACGAGCAATGCTTCGGATACACCTATGATCGAAGACTATTAACCTACGAATGTCCTCTGCTCTTAACGGATATGTTTGTTATCCTTATAGTAGGACAGAGTGAACTGCTGCGCAGTACACTCGTCCTTTGGTTAGCAAACGGATATCTCGCCTACGCCATAAGTGACGCAACTTGGCAAAAGCCAATCGAGCTTTCTGTATCCGTGCTGAGATTTCGTCAGTTACCAGGCCATCAGCGCTGATGAAACTCGCAAGATAAGTGAAGCGGTCAACACACCCGACTATTTCACTCCCTATCACTAGTTCAGGTGCCGATACAAGTCAATCTTGAAGCAAAATTTTGCATCTTTGGTTAAGAAAAAACATACCAGTTTTGTTCCAACACAACAGACGAAGGCGATAGTTAGGATGTATGTAGCAAGTTGATTTATTTAGAAGGATATAAAACTGATGTAGCATTCAGCACCTCATTAAACAGTAATCCGCCAGTCACGGTTCTCATCATCGTTTAGTGTATTTCGAAGTGTATTAAAGTGAAACAGTTATAGCAATGTATAATCCAAAATACGTAGTGATCATATACTATAAAATAACCTAAGGCCCATAGTTATGTAGCATAGTGTCCCGATAGGCCTCGGAAAACTAAATAAAAAGGTTGTCAGTTGAAACCATAGCTTACAACGCTTATTTGACTTATTGTTTATATCAGAGTTAAAACCGTGTTGTAATGCCGAAAAATTTTCCAAGGTCTTTTTATGTTATCATTGAGGATATGAATTCTGATGTTAGGGCACCTAAAAAACAATAACTAAAACAGTGTATCGTTAATTCTTGTGTTTATAGAATTGTACTGTACTGAGGCCTCTTTTATTCACTTTCCCCAGTAAGGTGACGCTAATGAACAATTCTGAACTAAGGATTTATGCCAGAATATACCTGAGAAATGCCTATCCGTTTTTGGCCATTTGATTTCCCACCTTAGCAGTCTGAAATTTGTACTAATTATCCAATGTACAGGTAAACTGACAAACTTGCCCTTGATGTCTTATAAAAGAAGTTTGTAGAGTCTCCAACTCTTCCTCAGTTGACAGAAAAAAGTGAAACCCCGATAGATTTCAAATACGTTTTGCTGTTGACTGAAGTGCTGTGTTATTCACAATTCACATAGGTTGTTTAACATCCTAAGGCAAATCTGAGAATACTGCGACAGCGTTTTTCAGTTTCGCACATACTTTTGAAAATCTATCAGAGTTTAAAAATCACTCACAGTACTTACTGTTCCTTTAACTGCAGCTTGGTGATGTAAAGTTGACTAGTGTACATCTACCCCAGTTAAACTCATATACAAACATTCTTAATGAAAGGGTGTTCATTTAGCTGCCGATGACAAGGGCGTTTCGGTTAAGTAAAACTTTGGGTACTTGATGTTGCATCCGACCTGCATTTCAGCTGCGTCCAAATCAACGGATTAGTATCGGTATCTTTTTTTTGTCAGTAGTTCCCTGAAAATTGTACCGGCCTGATGTGCTTACCGTCAATTTGGATGTAGGCTAAAATGCAGCTAGGTCAAGTATCCTAAGTTTCAGTTAACCGAAACGCCTTTGTCATAAGTGATCGGTTCTGGGCTTGTGAACTTTTTTTGAATTCTCTTGCAAATTCTTATGGGGCTGAATGTTTGGAATAGTGACCATTGCTGCACAACCTAAAATGCATCTTACTTTGTAAACCAACTAACAAGATATAGCCTATTTTCGTTAAAGCAATAAACAGAATTTATCACGGGTTTAGATCCTTTCTGATGTGTATAAAATACCACGTATATATAGGTCGTTGTGCTTCTAGACATTGGGATTAATCTAAACAAGATAGGGCTTCAATCAAATAACTAAGAAGCAAGGTAGTCACCAGATAAGTTTGTCTTGAAACAATCTGAATGCGATCCGGTTGTCCTATTCCTAACTTCTATACGTATCACTGTTTGCTGGCGTCACTTATTCAAACGTGAAAATCATGATAGAATTATTATACGGACTTCTAAAGTAGATAATCAACCTCAAGAAGCACCTCTTTGTTCATCTGGACCTCAATCAGGTATTAGATACCATCCAACTGTGTAGTTTGAGACCTTACGTAACATCTGTTTAAAATATATTCGATTCATTCTTTAAAATGGTACATTCAGAGGCCAAAAACTTTTCCACAGATCACAAAATGACATTAAGAGGGGATCAAAAACGACTCCAAACTAAAAGAATACGATTATTGCAAGTAAGGACTTCACCACAGAGAGTTTTATATAACCATAGTGGTCCAGCTAGAGGCAACCCAAAAAAGCTATTCTTTGTACCGTAATACCACAACAGAAACTGACCACTTCTTTATCGTCTACATGGCATCAACCGAAAAGGTTATCATCCTAAAACTTCCTGACTTTACCTTAGTTTACCCCAATCTAGCTAGTTATTTTCTAGTAAATTTCCTCGTAAGATTTTAAAAGATAACTTTTCGTCATATAAATTTCTACTGTTTTACGTTTTCTCACAAGTTCAGTGTCGTTGGAATTACATGGTCGATGTTGATTCCTCATTCATCTCCTAGATCGTAGTAGTCAAAACCAAACGACTATTCTATCTAATATTATTTATGCCTGAGTACTTCAGCACTAAACCTCTTTTAGTTGTAACTTCATAAACTGAATTTTTAGAACTTTTTTTAAGTACTGGTGGTTAGGACAACTGACTATCGATTTGTATTTCAACTACCTTCGTTCATCACCGTATTTTAAAATAACAGAGATTTGTCCTTCTGCATGTTTGTCAATATATGCTGTTTCTTAGTAAATTATAGTCACACATTCGATGAACTCTTGTTGTTTCAGTTGTCTGGAAACACTAGCTCACTGACTTCATTAATTTCCACATTTTGTCTGCAAGTATACTTAGTGTTTGATTTATAAAACTGCTTCTAGTTATTAAGACCTCATTTACTGACTTGACAGCCAAAAATTTAATACAAAACCCACTAAAGCACAGTTCTACCTGTTTCTACGCTGTTAGAGATCTGTTTTACTGAGCCTAATAATCTTTACCATGGTTCAGTGGCTACTTGAGCACGACAAATCTCACTATTTTGTTCATCCATTCCCATTCAAATATTTACTACAAAAAGTGGTTGTTTTTTCTAGCAACCCCTTTCGATAATGACTATTCCCTGTAGAACTTGTGCATATTATTAGAGTTAATCACTCTGGATCGTGAGGTTCTGTGTCAGTGTATGCCTTCAAAAGGTGTACCAAAGAAGTACATTAACCCTATACATGCTCTCTACTCGAACCCCACTGGTCAAGCAAGAGCTTATGGCGAACTTTCATCGGAATTCTTTACTTCAAGTGGTGTCTGTCAGGAATGTACACTTTCTCCATTCCCGTTTAACTTAGTCTTAGACATGCTTTTAGAGTTAACATTATCTTCGTCTGACTTTTCAGGAGTGGATCTCCTACCAGGAGGGGCTCGCTTATTGACTTAGAATATGCCGATGACATAGTCCTACTTGGTGAAGACGCTGACAAAATGCAGTCTTCTGACTACTCTAAGCAACAATGCAAGCATGTTCGGGATGAGGTTTCCTCACTAGAAGTGAAAAATGTTGCTTCAAGATTGACTTGTATCGGCACCTGAACTAGTGATAGGGAGTGAAATAGTCGGGTGTTTTGAACGCCTCACTTATCTTGCGAGTTTCATCAGCGCCGATGGCCTGGTGACTGACGAAATCTCAGCACGGATACAGAAGGCTCGACTGGCTTTCTCCAACATGCGTCACTTCTGGCGTAGGCGAGATATCCGTTTGCTGACTAAAGGACGAGTGTACTGTGCAGTAGTTCGCTCCGTCTTACTTTATGGCTGTGAAACTTGGCCAGTGAGAGTAGAAGATATTCATCGGTTACAGGATTTTGATCATAGGCGTCTTCGAAGCATTGCTCGTGTATCCTGGGACACCTGAGTGAGCAACGCTGTTATTAGGCAACGAGTTCTAGGTAAGGATGGCAAGTCAATAGATGAAACATTGAAGCTTCATCAGTTGAGGTGGTTGGGACATGTGTTACGTATTCCTAACCACTGACTGCCTCGACGAGCGATGTTTTGTAGTGTAGGAGTAGGTCGGAAGAAAGTTAGGGGCGGCCAGACCGAAACATGGCAGGAATCCATGAAGTCATTGACAAGTAGACTGAGTCATGTTGGCAGGTGCAGGCTGCCTGGTTGCTGTCCGCGAGACGAACGTCACCGATGGTTAGAGACCTTGAACGCAGGTGCCTCTACTCTTTATGTTCTCTTAAATCCTAATCTTCAGAATTCCTCATCTCTTTCCTAAGTTATCTCACGGAACTACAGTTCTTGAATTATATCTTCGATCCCTAATATTCTCCATTAGCAGTTATTCTCCTACTATCTCTACCACTATGTGATTTGAATTGACAATTTCGTCTCTGTGCTAATGTGGTATGGCAACCTGAACTGATGTACTTACGTACGAAGTTCTACGTTGTAACTGATTGACTGACTGACTTTGTATTAAAAAAAGTACCGAAGGATTCACGATTATCGATTGACTATAATATTAAAATTATCTAGAACTTTGTACCTTAATTTCGGTCCACTGCTTTTTACTTCTTTAGATTTCTAGATATCAGTTCAGTTTTTTATGCTTCCTGAACACAACAAATGACTTATTTGGGGGGAGTTGGCTGTACCCTCATTGGTTTGGGTCCTTGTTTAGTTCTTTTCGCATGCACAGTCGCCAATTGTCCTATAAAAGTCATTTTACTCACAGCCAGGTACTTATACCAATTTTTATTACATTTATGATTAAGTTTATCTCTGTTTGGCCATACAGCTCCTAATTTTATCATATATATTTACTAGCATTACTAAGAAGGTCAGCCAAATAGTATTTTAAGACACTTCAACATGGTATCCTAAATGTTTTTGTGCAATTGTTATCATTAATCAGTAAGACTTTTACAACCTCAAGGCGATTGCTAAACGCTCTTGGATTCTTATTTTGACAGTTTCAATAGTGTGCTGAATCATAGTCGATCATCTAAAACTCAATAAGCAACTATTGCATGAACTATCATTTTCGTTAAGTGTTGAGTTCATACATATTTGATATCTTACTCTATAATCTGTTAGTGTAGGCATTCGAAAGGCCATAAAGTAATGGCTCTCAGCTTCTAATTTTTCAAAATGTAACTGAATATTCAGGTTTTGTTGCAGATACTTCAGTTTAAGTGTACTGATCTCATTTCGTACTCTACTGAAATGTAAGTTTTAAGATGAACTTATATTTGACTGTCATGGACAAGAACGTTCCAATAAGATCCTGATAAAAAACCAAATCGTGTAAGGGTCTGTCAATCTAAGTAAAGCAAATCAAAATCTGCTTCTGTGACTAAGCCATGTATCTTGATACATCTAGCTCAAATACCTTAACTGATTCATTTCTAACAACAATATACCTCCTAGCTATTGTCTTTTGAATGTCAAAAACATAAGATATATTTTTACAACCTATATGGACTATGTGGTAACGACTGTAGTTTCTCTGCAGCAGCAAATAATTAATCTCTAAGGATTGTATGAATCCTCTCATTTGTAGGTGTGAGTTTTGAGGGGATTGCCTCAGTTTTACCACTAGCTGTGTGACTGCCTGAACTCAGTAGCTAACTGAATAACGAGTTTGGGATTTGGTGCGAAAGGTACCAAGTTCAGTATTAAAATGTAACAACCATTAGTATGATTTAGTGTTAATCTTTATTTGTACCACCTAGTCTTCTGATACCTATATTTCAATTCTTTATTTTACTGCATTTAGTGGATTTTTCTGGTTGGTGTCATTATTCATTACATCTGTGATATGGTTTGTAGTTACTCCTCTGCGAGCCTACCTTGCATTCGGAATTCTCACTGGCGTGTTAATTCAAGAAGTTTTACGGTTTTTATTCTTTTTATTGATTATGTACGTTCTTGTGTTGTCGTACCTTTAACTATCAAAACTATTTTCTTTTAACCAGTGGGGTTCATCTTAAGACGATATATTTTCATGTATATTCTGTCATGCTAGCCAGAAATTAAATTACAACGATATAAGGCATATGACCCTTACTTTTTAAAGTTATCTTTAAATAATGTTTATGCTTCTACTGCCGTATTTCCTGACTGCAACTACTGCTTTGACGAAAGAGCTTACATATCGCGATCAATAAATCAAACTACATTGACTGGGACATTCATTCCTGTAGATCCTACCATGCCATTTATGTTGGTTACAGAGCAGTAAGACTATAACAGCAACTCTAGGTTCAAAAGTAAAGTCATGCTACTAACTGTACTAGGGTTTGGCAACAGCAAATTTGAGACTGCTCACGAAAGATCTGTGTAAGTGGTCTCGAGTATTTGTTTCTTGAGCTCTGTAGTCACAGTCTCGAGTTGTCATTACCGTCCCAAAAAAATCTCAAGAAGAAGAATTCCTTAACGGCATGGATTCTCATGAGGTGGGAAACTCCCTCACACCTTTAAAAATACCTGAAAAACACTTAAACGCTAAATGGAACACAAAATCATACAAATACCTCCAGTTAAAATAGACCCGGAATGTGTTCGTTACCTACAGAGTTACTGATTTAAGATGGGATTACAACCCATATTTTTCCAATGAGGGAGCTGTTTATCCTTGTAGATTAATGAATCCTACTTACGTAAATGTGTCTACCATGTAAAAGTGTTTACTTTACATGTCTTTTTCATTCACTTTTATTTTCTCTTTCGTTTATAGCAAAGCTGAATCTGGCCTTCAGTTGATTGTAAATGATTCAACTACTACCACCTCAAGGCCTCTACAGCCTGTTGGTGAAAATAACAACGATATCATCATTGAAAACAATAGTAGTCAAGGAAGAGGAGAAGCCGAGAGAAATGACGTTTCAAACTTAATAAGAAATAGGAAAATCTTTAGTAGTAATACTGTAATAACAAACAACTATGATGATAATCATCATGCCGGTGACCGTAATATTGTAGATGACAATAATAATAGTAAAAATAACAAAAACATTGTACAAATCGATCATCTTACGGTCGCTTATGTCTCTGGTTTAGGATATGGTTTAATGAGTAGTATCATTCAATTATTACGTATACTTATCGATTCTTATGGCCCTGGAATAATGATGTATTCAACATCGGATCCAAAGACATTCTTTCTGCTTCCATGTAAGTGTATTATCATACATTGTTTTATAGTTTACCTGTTCTTTTTATTATGCTATATGAATCGTGTGATGGTGTGATTTATTTACCAAGTACTAGCTTATGTACTCAGTTTTGAATTACATTTTTTCTGTCTGTTAATGCTGATGATACCAGTCACTCAAAGCTCGCTCATCTAGAATAATTATATGCTATTCTATCGCCTTATTCTGAAGGTATCCAAACATATCCAATCACAGCTCGAACCAACAAAGCACAAACCTATTTAACTTGATGTTAGCTTAAGTAATAAAACGTTGATCTGATGTGATTTCACGTACTTAGTGCATAATATTGAAGTAATCTGTGAACCGTATTTAGGAATAAAGATCACAGGGTTAAGCATTTATGTAGTAACCAACCATTCTAGATGGTCTATATATCAGATCCATGACTGTATGCTCCGAATTTGGATGCACTAATCCGTAAACCACAGGCTCACAGAGTTATGATACTCGCAGCTATTGCCTTACTTCTCTGATTTCAGTGATAAGAAGTCACTCCTGTAAAAAATATATATATATATATATATTTATATATATATATATATATATATAGTAACTATTGAATCATGTTTCCTACCTAGCATATTATGAAAGATTGAACCATTTTTAGTCAATTTCTATATTGACTATATACTAGCCAAATAAACACTGATACACAGGATCATTATCTTATTAAGTTAGTTTTAAAGACATATTAAGTTTTTGTAATGATCAAATGATAGATTAACCACCAAAGCACTAACGGTCAACTGTAAACCACATCAAATATTTACGATTGTTGATTAGATTTCAGCAAGTAAGTAGTATCACCATACGTCGAATGAGCAAAAATCATTACATTTCTAATAAAACATATTCTTTCATGGCCCCCTTTTAAACATAATTGGTGATCAGCTGATACAAGTAATGGAAGTATTTTGATTCAACTGATCCCTAACCATTGTAACGTGGATAAGTGATGCTACAAGAAATTTTTGAATGTAATCCCAATATTACAATATTCATGAGTTTTCAAGTCTTTTCAAACAAACCACTGACCTGATATATTTAGTTCACAGAGCCATTAATATTAATTAATTATATGTAACCTAAATAGGACACTTAGTTTCTATCCACATCTACTATTTCACTCATTCAAACTGTTTTGATTATGTTTTTTTGTTAGCGTGTCAATGTATGTGCATATCAATGCTTCAAGTGTTTTGGTCTCTAATTCTGTTTGCTGCGTTTGTACAACGTGCATATGGTCAAATTACCCTTGTATACTTTATGCATTTTGGGCTAGCTGGCATGGTTAGTATAAAAACACTTTTTTTCCTTATCGGCATTGATGGTGCATTTTCCAAAATATGTGATATTGATTTGATTTTGTTTAGAACACAAATTAAAATGAGGAATTTGTTACTATTGAGTATAACGTTTCCGTATATGAATCTGACACTTCTCTCCCAGAATGACAACCCCTGCTGCTTCACTCATAGATCCTTCGACGTCACAAATTACTCTGATGTCTGTCGAGTGTTAATGGAGTTAATTTACATACCGGACCATCAATCCTCTTATGCCTCTCTTCGGTTACCGGCCTCGTAAGTTTTCGGATTCTACACTCAGCAACTACTTTCAAATTCCGTTTCATTTTACCATTGAATCCTCTGCAGCATTGGCGCATATGTTGTACATCCATCCCAGAACAAACAAGCTAAATACTCAGCTTGCTGTCCATATTTTGTTGCATGTGGTCGTAAAATTTTCCCTCATACTAACTGAGTTACTCCCTCTCAGAAACAGTAACTTACTTCTCTTGAGCACACTTGGTTCATCGATGTCGTATTAGAAAAATCGACCTACTATTTTCAAATGTGACAATACTTCTTTCTGACATCTGAGTGCGTTCCAAAGCATATGCTCAATACTTATGGCTTATCTATGCAATAATTCGTTTGCTTTAGAAACTTCCAGATAGGCAGTATAGAATTTCAAGTGTTTTCAAGTTTATTGTTTGATGATGATGATAAATACAAATACATAGTGTTATTATGAGACAAGTGGTTAATGTGAGATATCAGAATAATTGACAACCACTTCACTCAGTAGGCTGAACAAATTGAGCTAAAACACTCAATCAAACAAATATTTGGGGGCATAGGTAAGGCGAGATAATTCCAAAGGTTTCTCCATCTTTAGGTGCTTTTTCCAGTGACTTGGTCACATCTTGTACATGTCTTAGCGACTTCTTTATCGTTTAGTATGTGAAATTAAGTTGCTTTTCTCAACTGTGTAAAACCTATTTCGCTTATGCTGTTACTCGAATCGTAATAATAAATACATCCTTCTATCTGATAATGTTGTTCAGAAGAACAATGAAAGCTCCACAACCAAAACATTCAGCTCAGAGAATGAAACACCACCACAACACCCTATTTGTGTTTTGTATTCTTTACTGCATTTTTTTCTCTCTTCTATTTCTTTCCATCTCGGTTATTTAAAATGTTTACTTGAAAACTTTTGGAGTTACCACAGGTTGCTCATTGATTTTTCTACGCTTTAATTAGTTCTTCGTCACCACAAAGGAATCGACAGCGCTTTCACAATAATGTGTGCTTTCTCTTTTTGTGGATAGATTTCAACTGACGAACCATCAGAAATCAGTTGTTCAATGGCATTTTTGAACAACTGAGCAATGAAAATGCAGGATTTTTGTACGTCTCATGGTAGTCATGATACAACAGAATTGCTAAATTTAACAATGGTAACCTGTGCCCAACTTCAATTTTTTCACGTTATAGCACAATAAAGTTGTGGAAGTGTGATGGAAATTCTTTCCACCAAATTAAACTTCTAGGATCTAGTTATGAAAATAATAACTGTGTACTCACAGTAATGGCTTATGACCGGATTCCTTAAGATTTTGTTGAAAGGACATTGTCTGTGGTCAGTCAAGCAACCGGCCATATTTCAGGTGAAGGCAAAATAATTGAAGTTGATGATGCTGACCATTGTATTCTAAAGTAATAAATGAATGTATCACGGTTGCCACGAAACAATGAAAATAATGCAGTGAGTTGTGACAAATTAGGATGAGACAACTGTTTAATGTGCTTTATGATTGTCATTGATTCTTGGTGAAAATTTAATTCGGCTACTTCTAATTGCCTACATCGTGTTTGTATGTTTTTATCATTATTTTACAGTCGTTGGTCAATACCTTTTCATCACCTTGCCCGGAAATCGTCTGCACAGCATACATGATTTGTCTTATCGGAATGATCATATTCGCTTATTGTCGATTCCGTACAGAATTAGTCACTAATCAGGAAAGAATCAATACTGTCAATTGTACTAACTGAAAATATCGTGAATTTTATACAAGCGACAAACAATCGAATTCATAACAATCTCTTTTATAGTTCAAGATCCGATGCAACTAAACGTAAACCTACTATAGCAATAGTGATGGAAACATTGTCATCGCGTTTTCTTGTGCATCTTTTTCGTTAGAGTATATATAAGAATTATGTGAAACTATGCTTAAAACTATAAACATTATTATAGCACGTAATAAATATTGATTTTATACTATGCTGTTGGTGTTTTAGTGACCTTAAATTTCAGTTGACCGATTCTCAGCAAATAGTTTCAATCGTAGACAATAGCCTTTTATTATATTCTGAAGTTTTTGCATACGAAATTCAAAAGATCATTATCGCGCTAACTTAATTGAAGGACTGCATTTAATGAAAAGTGAATGTGGTAAGTTAAAAAATTACGTCTAACACACTCGCTGATTTAGTCAATCGATTATCAAATAAATCATATTTTTAAAATTTTCTAAAAATACACTTGTGTCTATACTTCACAACAACGAATGGATGGAATCAAAACACTAATAAGACTGCATTGTTGTTTGTTTACTTACTAAACTCAAAGTTGTATTGTTGTTTTGTTAAGCAGAGTATTTATCATGTATATTCATGATAAGCGGGGTGACTGAACAACTGCAAAAGTTAAAATTATACCAAAAGGACTAGCGTGTTACAAATAAATATGCTGAAGTAAAATGATAGATGAAAACTATCTAACGCTGAAACATGGCAATGATCTGATTACAACTACCGTGCTTAACATTTGTTACGAAATCCCACACATCAGAAGCTTTTTTGAAAACGTTCTGATATAATAAGGGTAAATAGTTTGACAAGCAATAATAGTTATAAATATTAAAATAATTATTCGTCGTAAAGTAATGAAGTCATCGTTTTTAAACAAATCTATTTTTACTTTGTACTGTCATAGTTTTCGATATTTTTCTGTGAATTTACTAAGTTGACAAGGTCTTCACTGTAAGGTAGCAATTCAGCACGACACAATGGGCAAGGTACCTACAGAAACAGAAAAACAAGTAATTACTATTGTACCACTACATTTCGGGAAAACCAACTTAGAGATTAGACTCCGAACCATATCTCACAAATAAATGGTCATTTATTAATCAGATCGCAAGTACGCTTGTATCACTTTCTGTTAAGGTGTTAAATAAATAGATATATTATTTATTGTTAGGATATTCATCCAATATCCAAAGAGAATTATTGGTCAATTCCTGTTGGTTAGTTTCTACTGGTCTATTTTATGGTCCTTGATATCAATGTCACATACTCCAATGTCGTTTCTTATTGGTCGTCCTGAATTTCAATATCACTTCAAATGTTGTTTCCTATTGGTCGTCTTCACTGTCACAGACTTCGATGCTGTTTCCTATTCAACCTAAATGCTGTATAAATACGCATTATCTGTAACGTTCTATGACCTGGATTCCTAGTCGGGGATCCTGATTTTCTTTTGGACTCGGACCTCGTACATTCTGAATGCTGGTAGAACACAGGTTCTACTTCATATCAAGTCTTCTTTTTACTCAATATGGGGGTTGGGACACGCGAATTAGAGAAGCATGTCGTGTCGCCAGATCCTCGTTTTCCGACTAAGCTAAACTCTTAATAGTTCAAGCGTATCAATTTGACATGCTTAAGTTCATGCGTAACATTTACTAAACTACGTAGTCCTTGTTAGTGTTATATTATCATTTAAATGAAGCTAATAAACTAGCGTTTACGCGGAATGCCATAAAAGACGGATATGATTTACCAGATTACGAGACATAACGTCAGTCAGCTACAACATATAACCTAGTATATACGTAAATCAGTTTCAGTTGCCCTACCACATAAGCGCAGGGAGATGGACTTATCAGTTCAAATGCCATAGTCGTTGAGGTTGTAGCGATATAAGCAGTAATCAGAAAGATTGAAGATATGATTTGTAAAGTATAACCCGATTTTTCCAAGAAAGCCTACCAACATGACTCAGTCCACTTGTCAGTGACCTCACGGATTTCTGCCCTGTTTTGGTCTGGCCGCCCCTAACTTTCGTCCAACCTACTCCTACACTACAAAACATCGCTCGTCGAGGCAGTCGGTGGTTAGGCATACGCAGCACATGCCCCAACCACCTCAACTGACGAAGTTTCATTACTTCATCTATTGATCTGCCATTCTTACCTAGCACACGTTTCCTAATAACAGCGTTGCTCACTCGGGTGTCCCAGGATACACGAGCAATGCTTCGAAGACACCTATGATCAAAATCCTGTAACCGATGAATATCTTCTACTCTCACTGGCCAAGTTTCACAGCCATAAAGTAAGACGGAGCGAACTACTGCACAGTACACTCGTCCTTTAGTCAGCAAACGGATATCTCGCCTACGCCAGAAGTGACGCATGTTGGAGAAAGCCAGTCGAGCCTTCTGTATCCGTGCTGAGATTTCGTCAGTCACCAGGCCATCGGCGCTGATGAAACTCGCAAGATAAGTGAGGCGTTCAAAACACCCGACTATTTCACTCCCTATCACTAGTTCAGGTGCCGATACAAGTCAATCTTGAAGCAACATTTTTCACTTCTAGTGAGGAAACCTCATCCCGAACATGCTTGCATTGTTGCTTAGAGTAGTCAGAAGACTGCATTTTGTCAGCGTCTTCACCAAGTAGGACTATGTCATCGGCATATTCTAAGTCAATAAGCGAGCCTCCTGGTAAAAAGTCTACCCCTGAAAATCCAGACGAGGATAAGATTATTTCTAAGAGCATGTCTGTGATAAAATTAAACAAGAATGGAGAAAGTGGACATCCCTGACAGACACCACTTGAAGTAAAGAATTCCGGTGACAGCTCGCCATAAGCTCTCACTCTACCAGTGGTGTTCGAGTAGAGAGTTTGTATGAGGTTAATGTACTTCTTTGGTACACCTTTCAATGACAGACTGCCACAGAAACTCACGATCTACTGAGTCGAATGCCGCCTTAAGGTCCAGGAAAACAACTATTGTAGGACGCCTAAATGTGTGTCTGTGTTCCAGGACCTGTCGTAGTGTGAAGATGTGGTCTATACAACCACGTCCAGGTCGAAAACCAGACTGGTTTTCTCGAGTTTTTTCTTCACGAGCTTTCGTTAAGCGTCGAAGTATTATTGAGGCCAATATTTTAGATACTATAATAGTTAGACTGATTCCCCTGTGATTGTCACAAGAAGACTTGTGTCCTTTCTTATAGATTGGGACAATCAGTGATTGAGCCCAGTCGGATGGGATTGCGTCCAGTTCCCAAATTCTACCTAAGATCTCAGTCAACCTAGCTGCTACAACTGGACCACCATCCTTAAATATCTCGGGGGTCAGTCTATCAGGACCTTCAGCTCGCCCTCGCTTCAGATTTCCTATGGCTTTCTCAACTTCATAAAGACTAGGGGTATTTACGTCGATTTGCCATTCAGGATGATTGGAGATCGTGGGTAACCGAAGAGTGGCTCGAGGCCAGTTGAACTGATCCCTAAAGTGTTCTGTCCAGCGGTACAGTCTCCTGGATTGAGAATGGATAATAAGACCATCGTTTTCCGTAATAGTCTCACTCACACTTGGGTTCCTGATATCAGTTTCCTTGATGAGTCTAAATAGTTGCCTGCTGTTGCCTATCGCCGCTGCCTTTTTCATCGCTTTTGCTTTCGCCACCCATTACAATGGTACAAAAAGTTTTCGTTGTACGAATGACGCTCTGTTAATCAAAATGTAAACAAACTAAAATATATGTGGGGTGCTATAGCACCAACGATCGAATACTAGTAACCAACGAATAACTTTCACTCTTACTGGTCATGTTTCACAGCCATAGAGTAGGGCGGAGCGAACTGCTGCGTAGTATACTCGTCCTCTGCTTAGCAAACGGATATCTCGCCTACGCTATAAGTGATGTAACCTGGCAAAAGCCAGTCAAGTCTTCTGTATCCGTGCTGAGGTTTCATCAACGCTATACCTTCACCAGCAAAGTTGCCGGAAATAACAGTAGGGTCTCCAGATACACGACAGAGAAGTCGCATTAGTTGCATACATTAACAAGATGATATCAAGTGAATCCCTGTACTTGCATGCACACTTCAGAGAAGCAGCATACTTCGACAGAGCGAAATTCCGGAGTTCTAACTAAGGAAGTCTGTTATCGTATTTGGCATAAGGCTTGTACATTGAGCTTCAGAAGACCAGGAATAGCATTTCCTGAACTCGAATCATTAGGTTTGGCGGTGTGAAATGATAAGGGTATGTGAGAATGTCTAGTCATGGAAATTAGTGTTATTAGGTGAGGGAAGGATTTGATCGTAACGAGTTGATCTCGTGTGCTGTTAGGTGTATGAGGACGGATGTCACTTCCCGGTTAGCTAAACCGTGGAGGGATATTTCTTGAATGACCTGAAAGGGTAGGCGGGTTAGCGTTGGTCTTGAGGACCTAGGAGCGTGACCAGTGAGCCAAAGAGACAACTACTTGCGTTCCATCGCGCACGGCTTCTGTATGGGAACTTTTTAACCTTTTAGCACCGCCTTACCACCGGGTACAGAAATCCGTAGGGTAAAGCGAGGTATCTTAGACCTCAAGTCGCTACTTTTAGTCTTGCCATTTTCCATTCAACCTGCCTGGCATGGTACGACCTAAAGGAACATGTGTCCCTGCTAATATCGCTCGGTTAGATCATCACGATAGGCAAGCCTGACCATCACATCAATGTAGTAACTACTGTTGGGTGATGACGGAAACACATCGTATTTTTTCAAGTGTCTACATGTTAATTCTGTGTAGCTATCTACATAGTTATGTAAGTTAACAACCTAAACATCAGTTAAAATATCATAATTAAGTATTAGTATGTTTGTAGTGTCCTTGACCACTCATTCAGCGTGAATAATTTTTTCAAACAACCATAATTGGTCTTGTCTAATCTCAATCAGTTAACGGATATTTCAGTTCAATTACCTCACATTGCAAATACATTTTTCATACCAATTTGCACATACATGAGTATGTTAGTAACAGGATCACCGAAACCCGAGCGATAAAATCGAACTGGTTTCAAGTGTACCAAATATTTTGCTTTGTTCGTCTGCAGTGTTTGTTTAATTTGATTATTTATTTTTTCTTTGAAGAAGTGATTTGCATTAGGCCACGAAACATCAAGAATTCAATTTTTTGTTCAGTAAGATACATTTTATTAATTCATTGCTATAAACAATCCACGCAATTCTGGATCTATTTGAAATTATTAAATCAGACCATTCTTGATAATTCATTCACCGCGTAAATATTCATGTACTTAAGTTTACACTACATCTTGAATGTGAGAGCTGGTGGTATGTCATCCAGTTGATAGCTGGGACATCGTTCAAACCTGACTTAATAACTGAAGTTCACGCACCTTGTTAGCGATACCCACCAGATAGAATGTTTCTATCAAACCTAAGATATCACAACTCGTCTTAGTATCTTACTGGCTTATTGATCAGGGCCATATTATTAAACCTTAGTTTCATATTAATACAAATAAATTGAGATGGTCTTCAACTGTTTTTAAGTAGCAAAATACAGATAACAAGACTATGAAAAACAGAGCCGTCAGATATCTAGACCCATGCACTATGTACTAATGGTCTACAACTCGTTGTAGCCTTTTGAACACTAACCTAGCTTCCTCGCTCACTAGCTAATGAAATAGAGTGGGTTTATGCATCCATATCAACTTAGCGATTATGTTTTGGCTATGACCTAAACAGTGTGGTTATTCACATTAATAGGCTGTAGCGATTTCGATCGGCTATCTGGAAATCTTAGGTCTGTTACATGTTAGTGTGTTCATTTATGAGAATTCTGGTCATTTATATCATCAAAAACATTTCCTCAGTTAATAAGGAAAGTCAGACGAAGATAATGTTAACTGTAAAAGCATGTCTACGACTAAGTTAAATAGGAATGAAGAGAGTGGACAGCCCTGACGGACACCACTCAAAGTAACCAATTCCGATTAAAGTTCGCCACAAGCTCGAACTCGACCGGTGAAGTTCAAGCAGAGTGCCTGTATAAGGTTAATATACTTCTTTAGTGCACCTTTTAATGACAGACGTTGTCATAGAACCTCAAAATCGACAGAGTCGAATGCCGCTTTTAGGTTCAGGAAGACAACTATTGTCGGACCCGTAAATGTGTATATATGTTCTCTGACCTGACGTGAATATGTGGTCTATACAGCCACGTCCAGGTCAAAAACCAGGTTGGTTTTGTTGAGTTTGCTATTCACGAGATCTAGTTAGGCGTCCGAGTGTCAGTGAGGCCAATATTTTATATACTATATTAGTTAGACTGATTGTGACAAGAGGACGTTTGCCCTTTATTGTAAGTTGGGACAATCAGTAATTGAGACCACTAGGATAGGATTATGCCCAGTTCCCCGATTCTACCCAAGATCTCGGTCAGTCTAACTGTAAAAACTGGCCCATAATCCCTAAAACTCTTAGGGGTAAGCCTATTAGGTCCTGCTGCTCTCCCTCGCTTTAGATTTCCTATAGCTTTTTCGACTCCAAGCCTTATACCAAATACGATAACAGACTTCCTTAGTTAGAACTCCGGAATTTCGCTCTGTCGAAGTATGCTGCTTCTCTGAAGTGTGCATGCAAGTACAGGGATTCACTTGATATCATCTTGTTAATGTATGCAACTAATGCGACTTCTCTGTCGTGTATCTGGAGACCCTACTGTTATTTCCGGCAACTTTGCTGGTGAAGGTATTGCGTTGAGTTCAAAAGCAGAACCAACTTTCCTAATTTCCAGTAGAGAGTTACTGGTGCGCTGCCCGACTAAACGGGACAGTAAGAACTCCATCTTGTTTAACTACGCTCACAGTAACTGCAGCTTAGATGAGGTAAAACATGAATTTTACAGAAAGCTTCCCAAAATTTGTCTTTGAAAAGCTAAGCGCTCTGATGTAGTAGTAGTGGCCATTTTAATGCTGAGGTACGTATATTGGACGAAACTGACAGACACCCAGGGGATCTTATGGTGTTGTGGCTCATCGAACAGATAATGGTGACCATATGCTGCAGCTATGCTCCAATAATATCCTGTTTCTAGCGCACAATAACTTTCGGCATAAAGATAAACAACTTTTGACATGGTCACTCCCGAATCGACTCAGCGCTACAACCAACTAGGTGACATTGCCTTCAGCCATCGATGGAGAAGATCGAAAGAAGAGTGCCGCTCGTTCTGAAGCACATATTGAGATCTACATCATGTTTCAAGACAACCACATATGTCTGCAATTGGTCAGAATCTTCACCGAATAGGACTATTTCATCAGCGTTGAGGCGACTTTGGGGGTCGCCAGGTCTAAAGGTGCTTTTTCTTATGCCTAAAGTTAGTATTTGCTAGAAATAGGCGATTATCTGAGCATATATGTACCAGACAGTCACCATTATCTGTTCTCTGAGCCGCGACACCATAACATCCACCCATGTGTCTTTCCTTTTCACTGAGTCTACCTACATGAGCATTAAAGTCACCAGCGATTATTACTATATCAGAGTGCCTAACTTATTGGAGGAGGTCCGAAAGCTTTCTGCAAAACCCATTTTTCACCTCGTCTGAACTGTAGCCAGCGGGGGCATAGGCAGATACGATGAAGAGGCAACGGTGAGTGTCCCTGTCTTTCCGAGTCCTTACTGTCCTGTTCAGTCGGATAGCGCAAAAGCGACTGTCCACAGGGATCCAGTCTAGGTGAGATAGTCCTGCCACACTACTCAATACTATACCTACACCAGCGAGACCCCGGGAAGCAGAATCATGACTTCCAGATACACGGAGAGTGAAGCGAGTCGCTTCATTATATTGACATGGAGAGGTCAATCGAATGACGCAGCATACATTGATAGTGCGAGATTCGAAAGTCCTAGCTAAACATGTTGTCCTATTTGACAGAATGTTCGTACATTAAAAGCACCAACATGCAGTCTAGAACGGGATTTCAGGTGACCAGGAATAATGGAAATCGAGTCGTTTGCATCACAGTGCAGGGTAATAAAAGAATATGAGAAGAGTTAGTCGTGGAGATAAGAGAGGTATGTGTGGGTGTAGGGAGGATTTGATTTTCGACCGATTTGGTATCGTGTGCTGTTACGGGTATGAGGGCGGTTGTCACTTCCCGGCTGCCCACACCGTGGAAGATTGTTTCTTGAGGGACCTGAAAAGGAAGGTAGATTAGTGTTGGTCTTAACGACCTGGGAGCGTGACCCCAGAGTTCAAGGGACAACTGCTTGAGGCCGGTCACGCACGGCCTTTTTTGAAAGGTTTTTAGAGTATTAGTTCCGATCTTGCTTAAAAGCCCTTACCACCGGAGACGGAAATCCGTCAGGTAAGGTGAAGTGTGACATTTTTAGGGTCGACATTTTCTAACCCTCGCATCCTTTCGTGTGAGAAGGCAGCATTGCTGCAGATGCTGGTTGTCCGAGGGGAACGCCTTACTGCTGTCACACCCCTCCGTCACAGTCAGCAGTACGACTTCGCCCTCAGACCTGCAGTAGCTGTTTTTAGTCTCATCGTTCTCCAATCGACCTGCCTGGCATGGTAGAACCTTCAGGAACATATGTTCCAGACAGTATAGCTCGGTTGGGTAATCACGATAGGCAAGCCCTACCAGCACGTCAACGTAACAGCTACGGTTGGGGTTTAAAGAAGCATTTGATGTAAAGTCCCTAAATTCTCACGGAAAAGAATTTACTCAAAGATCGGTATATAACAGCTTTCGAGATATTCATGTTGGGATTAACTCAGTAAATTAAACAGAAAATTATTCATAGACGTCACTTTACAGTAAAGAATGTATATTTACTTCAAATGGTGGATAATTATTGTATGGGCACTTCGTTTGTAATTCGCTTATTTCCTCTTCATATTCCACTCGTTTACGATTCATATACTCACCAACACAGTAGGTATGGAAATAGTGAAAATTTGTGGTACAATAAACATCGCTTTCGTTTCGGAAGAGATTTAAGCATATTGCACACTCAACAGTTGGGATATTAGATGAAATAAATTCACGAGAAAACTAAATGTAAAAAAGAACTGAAATATATTATGCAACATAAATCAATACAATAAACTGTTTACGATGCACAGATGCACCTTAAATTGTGTACATAACCTTTCAGTCAGCATAAAGTGCTGCTTTTAAGTCACAAACAGTGGTAAATAAGTTTTGAATGCGGCTATTAAGCAAAGGGATACAATTTACTACCATTTTTATTGATATCAGCTTTTTGACTAAAAGTAATACAAAGTGTTTGACCTCGGTTTCGGAATATGTTTGAAGTCGTTGAAGAGACTCAGCAGTTTCAAGTCATATAACTAAGTATTTTAGATTTACACATTACACTATAGTACATAAATCTAGTTTGTAAGTTCGAAAATAGTCTCTTTAAACTAAACGTAGATATGTGAGGACAGAATTATTTGAACACAAACACTGATACAACCGGGCACCAAAATATATATGCTTCACGTAAATCATTGAATTTATGTGACGGCTTGGGTACTTCCGAGGTATCCAAACCATATACAATCAAAATTGAACTAACGTACATCCACGAGATCAAAAAGAACTGGATCGCCGTTTCGTTCCAAAGTTAATTCTTCCAAGAGGGATGATAATTTTGCGACGTCTTTTTCTTTTAGACCATGAACACATTCTATAGAAATTGTAGGTGATTCTTTTGGGTACTGTTAGTAATAATATACAATTTGAGTCAGAAGAAATAAAAATTGTAATTATAAACAAACCTTCAAACTGAACTTCACCTTTAGGTTAAATTTTATAAACTTATTCGGGGAATTATTAAATCCTATCCCGGGAGTAACTACAAAAGTAACAGTATATTGATTTACACTAAGTAGGAAGAATATCAAAATATAGTCAAAATAACCTACTTAAACTGAACTTCGAAATCGTCTGGAAACATTTCGCGTAATAGTTGTAATTCATCTTGAATTCTTAAGCAAATGTTTTATTTTACATGAGAAATAAACTAACCGATTATCCATGCATCGATAATGTTTGTCCACCTTAAAAAAACTGATAGAATTTCTCTACGAAGGAAATAAAGGTACACGCAAAACATCTGAAGGTTAGTAAAATAATGATTGAAGTGTCTAAACTAATTATATTAGTACCCTGCTATGTTAGACTTGGTGATTAGTTGAGTGTTGTCGCGAACCATCACAAAATACATGCGATTTAAAGTTTTGTGTACTAACATATACTGGACTGTTACGATCGAGATTCGGTGTATATAGTCCCGACCGTAGCTGCTACCTTGACGTAGTGGTCGGGCTTGCCTATCGTGATTACCCAACCGAGCTATACTGTCTGGAACATATGTTCCTGAAGGTTCTACCATGCCAGGCAGGTCGATTGGAGAACGATGAGACTAAAAACAGCTACTGCAGGTCTGAGGGCGAAGTCGTACTGCTGACTGTGATGGAGGAATGTGACAGCAGTAAGGCGTTCCCCTCGGACAACCAGCATCTGCAGCAATGCTGCCTTCTCACACGAAAGGATGCGAGGGTTAGAAAATGTCGACTCTAAAAATGTCACACTTCACCTACCTCACGGATTTCCGTCTCCGGTGGTAAGGGCTTTTAAGCAAGATCGGAACTAATACTCTAAAAACCTTTCAAAAAAGGCCGTGCGTGACCGGCCTCAAGCAGTTGTCCCTTGAACTCTGGGGTCACGCTCCCAGGTCGTTAAGACCAACACTAATCTACCTTCCTTTTCAGGTCCCTCAAGAAACAATCTTCCACGGTGTGGGCAGCCGGGAAGTGACAACCGCCCTCATACCCGTAACAGCACACGATACCAAATCGGTCGAAAATCAAATCCTCCCTACACCCACACATACCTCTACTGAACCGCTATTGCAAACGAAGCAAGTTCACGAAACGTCATTCCTGGTCTCTTGAAACCGCGTTCTAGACAGCATGTTGGAGCATTTATTGTACGGACATTGTGTGAAATAGAGCAACAGGCTTCTTCAACCAGAACTTTAGAATCTCGCGCCATCGATGTATGCTGCGTCTCGAAAACGCGCATACAGGACCCTAGTAAAATTATTAATTTGATTTCACCTTATCAAAGCGAGAGAGATGGAAAAGGCAGCGGCGATAGGCAACAGTAGGCAACTATTTAGACTCATCAAGGAAACTGGTATCAGGAACACAAGTGTGAGTGAGACTATTACGGAAAACGATGGTCTTACTATCCATTCTCAATCCAGGAGACTGTACCGCTGGACAGAACACTTTAGGGACCAGTTCAACTGGCCTCGAGCCACTCTTCGGTTACCCACGATCTCCAGCCATCCTGAATCGCAAAATCGATATAAGTCCCCCTAGTCTTTATGAAGTTGAGAAAGCCATAGGAAATCTGAAGCGAGGGCGAGCTGAAGGTCCTGATAGACTGACCTCTAAGATATTTAAGGATGGTGGTCCAGTTGTAGCAGCTAGGTTGACTGAGATCTTAGGTAGAATCTGGGAACTGGACGCAATCCCATCCGACTGGGCTCAATCACTGATTGTCCCAATCTATAAGAAAGGACACAAGTCTTCTTGTGACAATCACAGGGGAATCAGTCTAACTATTATAGTATCTAAAATATTGGCCTCAATAATACTTCGACGCTTAACGAAAGCTCGTGAAGAAAAAGCTCGAGAAAACCAGTCTGGTTTTCGACCTGGACGTGGTTGTATAGACCACATCTTCACACTACGACAGGTCCTGGAACACAGACACACATTTAGGCGTCCTACAATAGTTGTTTTCCTGGACCTTAAGGCGGCATTCGACTCAGTAGATCGTGGTCATTGAAAGGTGTACCACAGAAGTACATTAACCTCATACAAACTCTCTACTCGAACACCACTGGTCGAGTGAGAGCTTATGGCGAGCTGTCACCGGAATTCTTTGCTTCAAGTGGTGTCTGTCAGGGATGTCCACTTTCTCCATTCTTGTTTAATTTTATCACAGACATGCTCTTAGAAATAATCTTATCCTCGTCTGAAGTATTTGTTTAGACTAAATTTGGGGAAGCGTAGTTTCCGAACTTCCCCCTATCTTAACGTCCCAAAATAATTTTAGCCATTAATGACATATTTGAAAAAAAGCTGATGGATATGTAGGTAGTGTTATGGACAGGTTCATGAAATCTTAGTTTCCTGAAGAGAAATTTCCGATCTTATTTACGAAGGTGAATTCAAAAAAAGTTTTAGATAATGACACTAAACATTCTAAATAAATGGTGCTTAAATGGATGATAACTGCTGTTATGAATTGAGCACCTACTTAAAAATAAAAATCTATGACGCAGTAATGGCCTTGAGCTACCCAAAAATATTTCCAACAACTTATATTTTTATCCCGACCTAGCATAAACCAATTTCAGTGTCCAATATCTAGTATTAACTAATTGATTAATTTGAGCCTGATTCTTGTTCTTTAGGTACGGTTTCAGCTATTTGGTAGTTTCTAATGGATAGGGGTCAAGCCACTTGACTGTCTAATTCTAGTCAGTTAGCAGTTGGTTGTAATTTTATATGTCCCGTGATTTGAACGAATACGTGTTTTAGGACAATATGGTTTCTGGGTACCAGCAACGATCACATTACCAGTGCAGAGATCAGTTATTTGCAGTGTTTCCAATAATGAATGAAAAATTCTAATGCTAATAAGAAGACTTCATACCTAAATAAATACATAATTTGGTTTATTAATTGGTAGTAAAGATTGTGAGAGGACTAACGTGTGAAAAAAGGAGAAGAAACAGAGATAATAGGCGAGATAGATTACGTTTAGTGATCCAAGGAGATTACAATATTGATAATTAGCAAGTCTCAAGGCATGCATCTGGCACAGCTTGGCCAAGAGGGAGACGATAATCCATATGTGAGTACCTCTCTTCTAAAAGCTGTCCACTGAAAGGGCTGTGGTCACCTGTCCTGGAAGAGCATTCCGACTTGCGACGCCTCTCAATGAGAAAAAGTGCGCACGAACCTGAGTATTTTCTCTTTGATGAGCAACTTTTTAAGGTGAGTTATGGTGATGCATCGGTAAGGTGCTCACGTTGGTATGGTTTGACGTGCCTAAAATGTTGTACTTCATGATCAGGTCACCTCTGACTTCTCCAACTCAGGGGGAATAGTCCCTATTGCTGGAGTCTATCTTCGTAAGTTTTATTCTGCGACGCTATCACATACTCGTTGCTCACCTCTGCACCTGATCAAAGGGATTTATGACTCTTTCAAGGAGAGAGGGTGGGTCGTTGTTGTAAACCTAAAGGTGTGGGCGTGCATATGTCTTGGAAAAGTTTAAGAATAATTCCGGGGTGATAGTACCAAGTTCCTTTTCATGAAGTAAAGAATTACATTAGAATTGGCTGCGTCTTCTATGTAGTTCGAGCTGGTGTGCGGGCTTTCAGTCGTCATGTGAGCAGATATTAGGGAGCGGCTTTGCATGGAGGGTGTAAGTTGTTCGCGTCGTGTGGAGCGAAATGTACGTGTCGTGAAATTTCGGCTGATTTATTTTTAAACCGTTTTTCACAGCCCATTCCCCAATGGATGTTAGGTCTTTTTAGACCTCAGTCGAATCGTCTTCGCTTCTGGTGGACCTCCAGATCTTCACATCGTCTGAGTAAATCAATACCGCTCACTAGCGCTTTTATTACTCTCGATAATATTATTAGTAATGTGACTGGTCTGTAACAGGCTGTGTTGTGTTGGGGATGCTTTGGCCAGATGCCTATGTTGAGATGATTCAGCGTGTCTAATATGTTGTACGCATTTGTCAAATCACTTGAGTTTGCCCATAATGCAAGTGAATAATCCTAATTGTTTGACTCATTCTTCTCAAGCTTTATTCTTTAACCCTATCACCCATTAGGTTGGTCGCCTCTGAACTCAATCTTGGCGATGACATTGTGCGTACGTCTTAAAGAGATTTAAGAAACGTCTCGCGGTAACTGCACCAAGTTTTTTTCGAATAAAATGAAGATTTGCGCTAGCCTGGATGCATCTCGAATGTAGAAAAAACTGGTATTTTGGCTTTCTGTGGGTTTATTGCCAAGATCTTGCACTGAGGAGACAACTGAGTGTAGAATTTCATTGCGGACGTGTGAGTCGTTTGGGCTTCATGGAGGATGTTGTTCTTAAACATGAGCAACTCCACTTGCTCATCTTCTGGTCCTTCAGTTGCCGTAGATAATGCTGGTATTATTGAGACTGGTATGTAGCAGACTTTATCTTATACCTCGTTTGATGATGGTAGAAACAGTAGCTTGTTTCATTCATATGAAAGTTGGCGCAACTTAAATGGTCGTAAACCGCTGAAAATCATGCTTCCGCCCAGTTTCAAGATTAAAGGGCAAATATTGGAACAAGGTGTTGCATTTCTTGTGCGCAGGCATTTAAGTTTCTTTTTTTACTAAGCCAGGAGTAAGTTGGACGTTCGCCAGGCCATCTCATAGCACTGCAACCGGGTAGTACTTTCAGTGTATGGTACTTGGCCCTACTGGTGGAAGAAATTAGTATTAAAAATCTAAGTTGAAATGATCTTGGACATCCAGACCTCTGAGCATACTTACACCCTGGTTCGCAAGTTAACCTCAAGTCATAAACTTGAAACGATATTATGGGTTTTCTTTCATTTAGGCTGCTAGTTTCATATAGAAGTGTCTCCTATAGCTTCTAACTTTGACATTGTATCCCTCAAAGAGACCTTCCATATGTGCAAGACACAGTTTTTCCTGATGCAAGCGTCTTGTGCTTCGCATAACCCATGTTCTTCTCCTTCCATAACGCACGCTTTGCAGAGTGGCATTCTGTAAAACATTTCTCACTTCACCGGTATAAATCAGCTGATATGCATCTGCCTTTCTTCTGGACATGAGGCGTGTACCTGGTAGTCCCGCACACGTGCACAGTAATTTTGGAACGGCCGATGGACATGACAAGCTGCTTTAAGAACCATCTCGTAGAATATGTATCTTGTATGTCAAGATTTAGGGATCGGGTTTTTAACTGTCAATCCTCCTGCGTTACTTTAGGGGTACTTATTGGATTCTCTCATTATCTGGTGTGCCTGTGTAGCTTCATCCGTTCTGGGATCTGTATGCAAGTTGATCAAACCGAGCCAGCCATTTCCGTGGGAACTGCAGAGGTAATAAAATTCTGGATATCTGAACATTATGGTCTACAGTAGTCATGGTGTTATTACTTCGTGATCGTTTATTGGTCTATGTTTTCAGGGTTTGCTTGTATTTTGTCTTGTAGTTTGTAGCAGTTGTGGCATCATGTTCGTGTAGTTTGCCTTAGTGTTGCTTTGGTTCATTGTTCATCACAATATCGGTCTAAAGCTAATAATAATTCGGTTTGTTCCATTAAGTGTCAGGGGCTAACACTGTTTTCCGATCAACAATTGTAGGATGTAATTTGTCCTACAGATGTAATTCTAAAACCGTAAACGCAATACAGCGGCTGACAGAGTCAAGAGTGAAGCTATAGTTATTAGAAGTCGATTTGGTTTTAAACTTTATCTATTCCTAAACAAAAAACGATTAAATTAGTACATTAAATAAGGAAATTACAATTATCAAGCAAGATGAGCAAACGTACCGGCCAGTGTCTTTAGAAAATGAATAAAAAACATGACTGTAATAATTAGAAGTATATGTATCAAGAATTAAGATATGCACAAACGAATGTATTGTATTTAGAATTCGAAATCAAGTATTCAACAACAACCACAAGAAGTTACTAGTTCATTCAAACACCACATCCGCCACAGCTTAAATTGGAATGTATATGTCTGTAATCAGTTGTACGTCTTCTCCTCAAATTCATCCTGTTTCTGTCCGACAGTGTATTGGATAAAGGCTCTGTATTATCTAGAATGCTCTCATTAGTATTAGAATTAACAACCGAAGTTGGAACAGACTCACCTGGCTCTTGTAATTGTATTTGATCAACATGTCGATTGTCTGTACTTAAGTCATTGATATCTAGAAGTCGTACCATAGATTTCCCGACATTCTTCTGAACGATCCCCGTGGATGGTCGAAGATCATTGCCACGATAATATGTAACTTCTGCAGACTCCAAACATCTCATATTCGACCGAAGAATTCTTCCTTTTAATAGTTTTGATGGAGTCTCTTTCGTCACTGAATGTCTGGCATTTCTATATTGCAGTAGAAAGGTATCTACTCCCCTCTCCAGCTCATTAAATGTTGAGGCGGCAATAGAATCAATAGCAGTTTTCATACCTCCACTGCACTTAGCACACGTGGCTATCGAATCTTTAAGTAAAGCATCAGAATTTTCTTTAGAAACTAGAAGAGACAACTCCACTTTAAGCCTTTTCAAATTCTTTAAACCCAGTATTGACAGTCCCGTTTCGCTAACTAAGAATTCACATGGTATGTATGAGGAATTATCATCTCTTATTAGCAGTTCACAACATCCTCGTATAGGCAGTCTGTGTCCAGTAATCCCCAATATTGATACTTCAGTGGGTCGTATCACAACGTTCGGATCTAACGATTTCAAGTTCTTGAATGAAATAATGGACTCTATACTGCCTGTGTCCACAATAAAGTCATGAAATGAACCAAGCGATGTATATAGTCGCTTTTGAATATGAGCATTACCTTTCGAAATGGTAGTTAAAGATAAATGATCATTAGCATCAGCTGAATTATGGGAATCTAAATTACAAGATTTAGTACTACTTGAGGCAAAATGAACAGTAGCTTTGCATACTGCTTGAATGTGTCCTATCTTACCACATCTAAAACATTTAGCATTACGAAATGTACAATAATAACGAGAATGAAGTTTTCCACATGATAAACATTTGCCAAACTTGGTCTCACCTTTGTGATTTCCTTTGTAATTCTTTTTTGAGACACCGTTCATATCTACACGAGAATCGGAACCACTGTTAAACGAATACAATTTTGATTGACCCTGAGATTGTTTTTCATCATGACAACTAATCAAAGTATTGGAAATCTTCATCGACTGAATATCGAGTTCATTCAACGCCTCGTAGTTAATGCACGCAGTTCTAACATCTTGAAAGGAACAGTTCGACATTCTTAACAGCTCTCTTTCCAAACTAGGTATGTTAATTCCTGCAATTAATCGGTCTCTCAGCTGCACATGAAGTTGATCACCAAAATTACATTTGACAGCCTGTTTCTGCAATTCAAGAATGAATTCCTTAACATTTTGATCATTTTGACGAATCATCTTATGAAATTTCGCTCTTTCACGGCATTCAAAACCAGGGCACTTTACATGATTCAATAATAACTCCTTTAGCATTGCATAGGGAAGTGAAATAGATTTTTCTGGATATGCCAAGGTTTTCAATAAGCTGTAGGCTTCTTTTCCGATGAATGTTAGGAAATGAGCCACAATTTTATCATCTTTGACATCTTTCCTGGTCATACTCCAGATTTCAAACCTTTCCAAATAATCTTCAAAAGCTTCAGAAGTAGAATGAATATCTAACTGTTCCATTACAAGCTCCATCGCGACGCCAGTGTAATAATTAGAAGTATATGTATCAAGAATTAAGATATGCACAAACGAATGTATTGTATTTAGAATTCGAAATCAAGTATTCAACAACAACCACAAGAAGTTACTAGTTCATTCAAACACCACAATGATTCACAGCAATATAAATAAAATAATAAAATAATCGATAGACCATTCACAACAAAGAAAGTTTATAGATCAGTCAGACTAGATGACGTGGTGAGCGCTTAACCAATCTGATTGGTTAGTTATGACATAACTACAATTACTTATAAAATAACTAACACTCCCCCCGAAGCGGTCACCACGTCCAGACCTCGTTGCTGTCGCGCTCGAATAATCGACCTCTTCCAGTAGGCATAGGTTTCTTATATCTCGGTTGATCTTTACGGTGTCTGTCTTCAATCGAATCGTTCTGACTCGGCCATCCGGACCATAATCGACTTCTCTAACTATAGTTTCACCCAAATATTTCTCAGCAAGCCAGTATTGTTTACTAACAGTGAGTCTCCATGTTGTGGACTCCTTCTCATTGACTTTATAATATGTTTCCATATACCGCCTCCGGGATCAAAGAATAATGCTATAAACGACAAAATATTCCTTCTGATTAGGTTTCCAGGAAACTCGTGAACTCTGAAAAACGATTTATCCGCTCGAATATTCTGCTCTACTCCCAGCGTTCGTTTACTCATCTCGTTGGATCCGCATAGGGTAATGTTTCCTTTTATTTCATCACTTTTCTGGCAAGATGAAATCGATGATACCGGTGGGTATGCTACTGTAGCTTCCACTGTTTAATTTTCGGTTCTTATAGGATTATGTTCTGAATTAAGACCACGCCTATTCTGATGGTATGACTTGATGGTGGATGTTTGACTCAAAACAGATACAGAACTGTCGAATCCATATGGGCATGTGTCGTTCTTTTCGATAGCTTTTCTTTTCAATTCACGACGTCTTTGACAGGCTTCATGAAACTGGAAAACACTCTTGTCACAAACCATCCCATCATGTTCGATGATTCCATCAAATAATGTTGGAAGAAGAGTCTTTTTGTCTCTTAAGGCAGAGAAACCACTTGTACTTACCCGAGTAGGATGTGACCGATAGCGATGAGTTTCAGGATCCGAAGTGCGGTCTAATGACTTGCTTTCAGACACGTTTGTCCTTATTCTTCTAGCTTGAAATGTTCCCGATGCAGAATCATTGCTACTACTACATGAATACCGCAGATCAAATTTACTAGGGATTTTATTTGTGGATAGTGTACCTTGCTATTTACAGAATTTTAGGACAATCGATTTCGTACTGAGTTGCTTTGCGTAACTTGCTGACGGGTGTCCATTCTACAACGCGATCCCAAATATAACGTAGGCGATACTCTGCTCTTGTACCATGTCGCTGACGATGGGCTAGAACCTCAGCAAGGTATTCGAATTCGTTGCGCCATGCAGCCATTACATAACTACCCACCTCATTAATTGCACCTATTCTCAAAGTTCGTGAGTCAACTAGAACAGCAGGCATTTGTAACAAACTGAGAGCAACACTAAACGTACTATTATCCGTGACCTGCAGAGAGATTCGTTATTCTTTTCAGCACTGTTGTTGTGTATATCACTTAACTGGAAATGAAAAGTCCAAGATTATTCCACTTTCGTTTATTAGCATAGGAATTAAGAGCTCGGCAATGCTGTCGAATAACTAGCATTTCTCTTTCACCAGCAACTAGGTCGACTCCCGCTAAAGCTAACGTTTCTTTCCGTTTATCTTCAACTACTTCCTTAGCAGGATCCTATAGATTTTTCGAATCCTTACAGTCTGTCTGAGAGGCCAATGTATAAAAGGACGCGAAGCAGAATCATGACTTGTAGATGGTGATGTCCATAAACCATTCGAAGCATCTTTCACCACATCAGCATTCACAACGCGTGACGAAATATTTGATCCGAAAACGTAATCAGACGGAATGTCTTTCCTAGCCATAGTAGAACTTGATAGAACGGTAGGCGACTTAGTTTATTCTTTTGATGCTTCCAGTGATACAACATAAGCCTCTGTGAGAGAAACAGGATGATTAGAAAGAGAACTAGAAAAATCCTGACCTATCGATTTAGTCTTAGGAAGGTTTATTCCATTCAGGTTTATCTCTATTTTATCATGTTCATTGTTACTTTCCATAATAAACAAATTTGATTTCTTCTCAACACAAAATTCTTAACAGGTTTTAAATCCAAAAGCGCAGAAACACTAGACAATATCATAGACCCATGGCAATTTCTTACGAGGATGGAGTAAGACATCATTCTGTTTACACACAAAGCCCAAGTTTTTGACTTAGTGGTAGTAAGTTCTTTCTAATCTATGCTCTTTTTTGTTCATGTTTTGAAGCTTACTAGGGAGTGACGTCACATTCAGATTGTGCGGTAAGACTATGAGTTCGATTTTAAATGCAGTTTTATAGATTTTTTATTCCATGTATATAGTGCCTGATTGAATTCAGTCATAATTATTTTAGTTAATCAATGTAGCCATATATGAGTCCCGGGTTTTCAACATACGTGGCGTTCACACTTTTGTAGTAAGCTATCTTTTGATTCACGCTTATGTCATTCTGTGCAGTTCTTCGTCATGTATTTTAAATATATTATACGTCATTGATACACCTTTAGCCATGTACTCATTGGGTTGAATTGTTACGGTTGGCAGACTTAGATAGCAAATAGTACTTGTCGGCTGACTACCGAGTTCCCACTGGCTATTGTCAATTTTCGTTTAAAGCAATCATTGGCTTGCACCAAATAGATATTATTTGAAAAAGTTAAGTAAGACTACCAGGGGACTCTCGGACGTCTCACAGTAAAGTAGTTCATTCATCTTATAGCACTCTATTTCGTTTCGTATGTTTGTCATTATGATGTTCACACATGAAGTCGATAAAGCTCACTTAATCTGATCACCACTCAAACAGAGCCAAGCAGTACACGTGATGATCCGTTATTGGCAATACCAATTTTAATCAGGTGCTGCAGATAACTCGCACAATTACTGCCGGACGTCTCGTATGATTTCATCTGTACTCATACCTGGGAAAAATTTTATAACCATGATTAACGTCCCAGAAAGTTCAAACTTATATTTCACTGATTAGTAAATTATACCACAACATAAAATAAAACTTGATGCGTTTTAAAAGCTGTTAAGCAGGCGTGCTAAAGTACTAGTAAAAGTAAGGATAATAAATCTTGGTGTTTCGGTCACATGTGTGATAGTGGGTTTGAGTCGTTACTTACTATCCTTGGAAGGTTCCTTGATCATGAGTTGAATCTACTGCAAAAGTAAATTCGTCTTTCTCTCTGATAGATCCTTGTTTTGTCTAGCTCACGTGAACCAACTACTTGCAGTCAATCAGGGTGGTTATAAGTAAAGATTTACTCATCGTTATTTTCCGTGCATAAGCAATTGGGATTTTCAAGTTGAACCAACTTCTGACGGTGAAGTAAGTACCTGCTGTCAAATATAAGGCGAAGATTCTGATCCTACCTTTGCCTTATCGATAAGAGCTTCATAATTCGCTCTACACGCTTGAAGTGTAGTTCACTTTGGAGTACACATAACCGTGCATTACAACAATGTCGCACTTGCCATATTCAAAATTAAAGCCGAGATCAATAACACATGAGCGGACGAAAAATTTCAGCTGAAATAATTACGAATGCTACTGACGTGTATTATTACCTCAAAATATTTAATTCACTTAGTTTAGACTGCTGTACGTCAGCTGACGAACCATTGATGTATTATACCGCTTGAGTACATTCGATCTTACAAATACTTTTCTCATTAGGTAAGATTAATGAAAATATGCGATATTCAGAATTTTTATCAGGTTTTCAGTAGACGGATAACAATACATGCACAGCTTGTTTAACACAAAGGGATTTCGCTTGAACAATTACGTTTATCCTGATGCAAACACCATGCTAACGCTATTCTGATCGTTTTATCTCATGGTCAGTTACATTAGCTAGTATAAGTCATTGTCATTCAGTGAGATTTTTCATTACTTAACAGATGTTGTCCCCTACCTTAAACTCCGTCTGTCATTAGTTCTTTCTGTAAACTGACTTAATGTAAAGCTTATTCCAGATACGTTTAAAAAGATTGCGTTATGACTAATTCTGAAAAAGTAGTTAGTAGTACCAGAGTTTATCGATGCACTGAGAAATCGCAAGTCTTAGATACAATTCTTGAAAATGTTATCCAAATAAATTTCGACAGTTTCTTATTATTATTCATATTTCTGTTTAATATACTTTTATCAACAGGTGTAATTGCTTTACTAAACTTTTTACAGATGTCCACGCTTGAACTGAAATTATCCAAATTAGACCAACGACTAAAGGCAGCTATCAGCGAACGACGTTTCTATGAGGCTCATCAGTTATACAAGACCATACATTTCCGTTGTATGATGCGAAGAAATTATCAAGAAGCACTAAAGTACTTAAAATCTGGTTCCGAGTTTTTACTTGATAATGAACAATTTGAAAGTGGTACAGAATTAGCTTGTCTTGTACTTGATGTGTATAGCCAGAGCGAAGCAGTTTTAACCGAATCTCATCTAGATGAAATTTGTGAACTGTTGATACGAATGTGTCTTGGAGAAGATAGGACGCGTTTTATTCACAAGGCACTCCATCTTCTCCAAAAGCAAAAAGATCTTCTGGCTGGGTTCAATGGTTATCTCGCCCGTGTATTGTGGCAGGAAGGATCTTTTAGTGAAGCGAGGTTGCACATTATGTTATCCTCTAATGGTTATGCTGCTGGTGTATTCCTTGTCGCTTTACATCAGAGATATGGGCTTCGATCGGAAATAGATTTATTTATTGCACAGGCTGTCCTTCAGTTTTTATGTATGAAACAAACGTCAGTTGCTATACTGACATTTTACACATACACACGAAGTCATCCTCGATTGGAGCCTGGACCACCGTTTACAGGTTTTCCTCTATTAAATTTCCTGTGGTTTTTGATGTTGGCCATTGAAAAGAAATGTAGTCTAGCTGTGTTTTCAGTACTATGTGAAAAGTACAGTCCTCAACTGAATAGAGATTCGTCTTATTTAAAATATTTGGATAAAATTGGGCAATTATATTTTGGTGTTAAACCACCTACAAATGAAATGAATAGTTTTTTTTCACGCATAATGCAAATGTTTAATGATGGAGACAGGCTGGAAGATTCTGTGTCAAGTGATGACCTGGGTCATTGTGCACCGAATGGAAATACCGATGTAAATTCACCAGAGGAAATGTGTTTCGAAGATGTGGATTAATAATTGCGCACATATCTCCACTTACTACATGGTGCCTTTCAGTTTAAAATGGATAATATGCACATACTCGTCTTTATAGATGGACTAAAGGTACTTACCCAACTTATTGACGTTCAGAATTCTGAGCGATCTCAGACAATAATTCCGTCTTGCAGTTACATTTCGTGAATCCGTTTTCCTCATGTCTCTCCTAACAAATTATTTATTTATCGGATGATTTCGCTGTCAGCTTCTCCCTTTTTCCCTGTTATAAAATGGATAAAATTGTTAATATTGAAATAAATTGAATTGTGTACAGATCCTGTTCTAATTTTTTTTAGTTTTGCTTGTTTATGCTGTGTAAAGCGTCTTTTTGATTTCTATCTTATGAATGATATTTCTGATTACCTTGTTAATTAGTTGCGTTTCCGCTTTCATTACCTTGGTTCAGAAGCGAAAACAGACTGATACTTTTGTTCCAGATTCTCTACTGTGACTCCCTGTTATAGTTCGAGCTGTGGCTATATTCCTGAAAGCTATTAAGTTCTTTTACTAGATACATATAAAATTGTTCGAGATAAACTGATAGGTAACTAAAAAACGAAGGTAAGACGGGATCTGGAGTTCAAGTTTTCACAGTACAAAGAACATTTCAGTAGAACAAGGAACTTTGAAAGTACTGCCAGTTGGTCTCAAGTGACTATACTGAAGTTAAATTGGCTTTATTTACAGCTAATGTAATGCCTCAATATTATTATAGTTGTTTATTTATACTAGGATTACATTGAACGCGTGTCGATTTTAGTTTAGATTACCAGTCAGCCGTCCGTAATCCGTCGTGTGCTCAAATGTACCATGATATAAGCCGGCGTCTGACAATTGATTTGCAGCTACTGTGGTCTTTTTAATTCCATACTATTCAAATGAATGTTTTCAGCTTTTTTCATTCATCACTCGTTTACGATATCCTGATGTATTAGAAGCTTGCAGTCCTACTACAAACCAGCGTGTTTCGCATGTAATGTTTATGTGATCCTAATTTACAGGTTATCACATTACTCTGTTACATTTGGCCGTGGTTTAGGGATAAATTGATCATAAAGTTAAACTTATTCTTTATTTTCTTTTCGGGAAAATATCCTCTAGATGTCAGGTTTTTTTTCAATGGTTATTCGACTTACAATTAACTGAACCTATTACCACTTTTGAGGTGCCAGAGTAGATTATTTGTGATAGTCTGTGTATTCGGATTTTTACATATTTTTGCATCGAAAAAATGGCTAGATGTATGAAAGTGTTCTTATCAGTTTTCTTGATTGCTTTCAGTTCTTATTCAATTAAAAAGTCCCACCATGTTCTATGATATCAGTCTCTCAACTGCAAAGAAGTAAAAGAATTGTTCTTGATTCTATTCCAAAACTGTAGTGGAGTTTATAAGCTGGATGATTTCACTAAGTTTTAAATATTTACTGAAGTCATGTAAAATGTCTCACAAAATTTGTAGTTTATTCCCAATATTGATTCATCTCTCACGCATAGCAATGTCTTTAAGGTTGAGTTGTATCTGCATAGTTTAAGCACTAATCAGTTAGTTCTCTGCATACTTTGCTTAGAGCTTTTGTGTAGTATAAATAACCAGGGCACGATTGTTTCACAACTGAATTGCTTGGTAATACGTTTTCAGCATTCTCCTATTTTAAGTTTTATTAAATTTCAATTTACACATGTATGCTTCAGTCAGAATGCCGTTGATAACCTGAGGCCTGTATGTAATTAATTGAATACATTTAACTCTAGTTCAATTTTTCATTACATTTTTAGACGAAAGATGAACTAATACCTACCATTCCTGAACAAGGATGTCAAACAGCGCTTTTGGACCAGTCTTAAGTTCAGGGATTGCTCCTAATTTAGGCAATGTTCCATCTTCTAAAGAAGAGCATGCCTTAGGCTTAAAAGCTATTTATACAGCTTGTCGACTGTTGTATCCCGACCAACCTACTCCATTACAAGTTACCGCTGTTCGAAAATTTTGGATGGGTGGACCAGATCCTTTGGATTTTATCAATATGTATGCAAACCCAGGATCAGCTGAATTACAAAGCCCTCCTCACTGGCATTATGTGACTAACGGTTTATCGGATCTGTATGGCGACTCTAGGTTGCATGGGTGAATTTATTGATGTCTTATTTTGTTTGTTTTTTCCTTGCTTTTTTCGAAGGAACATGTTCTCTGTTATAGTTGACTATAGTTGTGATGGTCTAGAATAAAGTTTATTCTCTTGTACCGATTGAGAACCTAGTTTACAGAATAGGGACTCTAGCCCATTGATTTTTAATCGAAGTTGTAATGTTTCGGTGGTATGGCAGCTGTAAGACTCATTTAAGCATGGCTGTCATAATTAATTGACCGACATAATAAATTGTTATTTAACTGTTCTTCAACCACAAGTTATTTGGAAAAATCAATGGCTAGATTTAAACACCGGATTATTATTATTTCTATATTTATTCATCTATTATTAGTGCAAGTAATTCTATGATTTTATCATAACGGAAATTTTCAGTAAACCACACTGGCTGCTCAGACAGGCAGACAGATACAATGCAGAACTTCGTACGTGAGTACATCAGTTCAGGTTGCCATACCACATCAGCACAGAGACGCAACTGTCAGTTCAAATCCAAGAGTGATAGCGATAGTAAAAGTATTAGCAGTAATGGAGAAGATTAGGGAGCGAAGATATGATTCGAAAAGTATAATTCAGTGAGATAACTTTAGAAAGAGAACGATAGAGATTATGAGGAATTCAGAAGGTTAGAGATAGAGAGAACACAAAGAGTGGATGCACTTGCGCCATTGCAAGCGATTTCGATCCATGTCGTTCAAGGTCTCTAACCATTGGTGACTTTCATCTCGCGGACCCCAAGCAGGTAGCCTACATCTACCAACATGACTCAGTCCATTTGTGCCAAGTTTTGGTTTGGCAGCCCCTAGATTTCTTGCAACCTACTCCTACACCACAAAACAGCTCGTCGCGGCACTCGGTTACCAGGCATACGTAACACATGTCCCAACCACCTCAACTGATGAAGTTTCGTTACGTCATCTATTGATTTGCCATCCCTACCGAGAACTCGTTTCCTAACGACAGCATTGCTTTTACGGTTGTCCCAGGATACACGAGCAACGCTTCGGAGACATCAGTGGTCGAAGACTAGTAACCTACTAATGTCCTCTACTCTTAACGACCATGTTTCGCATCCGTATGAGTAGGACGACTGCTCGTTCTGTAATAGATCTGATGCCTATGTTTTTTATAATAAACGTCAAAGTCAATCAGTATCATTTCTCGACCTCAAAGCAGCATTCAACTCCGTTGATCGTGAGGTTCTGTGGCAGTGTCTGTCATTGAAAGGTGTACCAAAGAAGTACATTAACCGTATATAGGCTTTCTACTCGAACCCCACTGGTCGAGTGAGAGCTTATGGCGAACTGTCGCCGGAATTCTCTACATCAAGTGGTGTCCGTTAGGGCTGTCCACTCTCTCCATTCCCGTTTAATTTAGTCTTAGACATGCACAGAGATAGTAAAGATTAGAAGTAATCGGAGAGGTTAGGATTAGAAGATATTCAAGATATATGATTTAGTGAGAAAAGTTTTTAAAGTCAAAACTAGAGGGGTTAAAGAATCCAGAAGATTAGGATTTGAGAGAACACAGAGAATAAATGCACCGGCGCCATTGCAAACGGTTTTGAGCCATGTCATTCAGGGTCTCTAACCATCGATTACTATCTCGCAGACCCCAACCAGGTAGTCGACAACTATCGACATGACTCAGTCCACTTGTCAGTGACTTCATGGATTTCTGCCATGTTTTGGTTTGGCCGCCCCTAGCGAACTACTGCACAGTACACTCGTCCTTTAGTCAGCAAACGGATATCTCGCCTACGCCAGAAGTGACGCATGTTGGAGAAAGCCAGTCGAGCCTTCTGTATCCGTGCTGAGATTTCGTCAGTCACCAGGTCATCAGCGCTGATGAGTTTGCTCTTCACGAGCTTTCGTTAAGCGTCGAAGTATTATTGAGGCCAATATTTTAGATACTATAATAGTTAGACTGATTCCCCTGTGATTGTCACAAGAAGACTTGTGTCCTTTCTTATAGATTGGGACAATCAGTGATTGAGCCCAGTCGGATGGGATTGCGTCCAGTTCCCAGATTCTACCTAAGATCTCAGTCAACCTAGCTGCTACAACTGGACCACCATCCTTAAATATCTTAGAGGTCAGTCTATCAGGACCTTCAGCTCGCCCTCGCTTCAGATTTCCTATGGCTTTCTCAACTTCATAAAGACTAGGGGGACTTATATCGATTTTGCGATTCAGGATGGCTGGAGATCGTGGGTAACCGAAGAGTGGCTCGAGGCCAGTTGAACTGGTCCCTAAAGTGTTCTGTCCAGCGGTACAGTCTCCTGGATTGAGAATGGATAGTAAGACCATCGTTTTCCGTAATAGTCTCACTCACACTTGTGTTCCTGATACCAGTTTCCTTGATGAGTCTAAATAGTTGCCTACTGTTGCCTATCGCCGCTGCCTTTTCCATCTCTCTTGCTTTCTCCACCCACCACTGTTCTAGATCATTGCGTAGGCTTTTTGTCAGCCTACGTCTTAGCTGACTCCGCTCCTCATCGCCCTCCGCGTCAGGCGGGATGAGCTTTCGAGCATCCATCAGATCGGTGGATGCTACTGAGATCCATGGCTTTATCCTAGCTTTATGATTTACCTTACTAGAAGATATCACTGCTGTTTGCACAGCCTTTTTGACATCCTTCCAACCTGCCTCCGGATGGGAATCGCTTACATGGTTGCCTAGCTGTGTTCCTAGTTGCTCGTGAAATATTTTCTTAGTTTGATTATCATTAAGTAAAACCCTAAGGGGCTTCCTTACGGTGCCTTTCCTACGCTCAGTAAGCCTCAAACAGATACGCGCTCGCACTGGGGCATGGTCTGAATCTAAACATGTGCCGCAGAACGAGCGACAGTCCTCTATCGAACCCCCTCCATCTGTGGCTGATGGTACTGTGATCTAGTTGAGTCCAACGTTGAGACGACTTTGGAGGTCGCCAGGTCAACAGATGCTTTTCCTTATGCCTAAAGTTAGTGTTTGCTAAGAATAGGCGGTTATCTGAGCACAGTTGCAAAAGACGGTCACCATTATCTGTTCTTTGAGCCGCGACACCATAACATCCACCTAGGTGTCTTTCCTTTTCACTGAGTCTACCTACATGAGCATTAAAGTCACCAGCCATTATTACTACATCAGAGCGCCTAGCTTTTTGGAGGAGGTCCGAAAGCTTTCTGTAAAACTCATTTTTCACCTCGTCTGAACTGCAGTCAGTTGGGGCATAGCCAGATATGACGAAAAAGCAACGGCGAGTGTCCCTATCCTTGCGAGTCCTTACTGTCCCGTTTAGTCGGACGGCGCACAAGCGACTATCTACTTGGATCCAGTCCAGATACTCGAAGAGTAAATCTAGCTGCTTCTTTATATTTACAAGGCGAAATCAGAATAATACTTTTACTAGGATCCTGTATGCGCGTTTCCGAGACGCAGCACACATCGATGGCACAAGATTCTAAAGTCCTAGCCAATGAAACCTGTTGCCCTATTTGACACAATGTCCGTACATTAAAAGCTCTCACATGTAGTCTAGAACGCGGTTTCAAGAGACCAGGAATGACGTTTCGTGAACTTGCTTCGTCTGCATTAGCGGTGCAGTGAGAAAAAGGACTGTGAGTAGAGTCCGTTGTGGAGATAAGAGAGGTATGTGTGGGTGTAGGGAGGATTTGATTTTCGACCGATTTGGTATCGTGTGCTGTTACGGGTATGAGGGCGGTTGTCACTTCCCGGCTGCCCACACCGTGGAAGATTGTTTCTTGAGGGACCTGAAAAGGAAGGTAGATTAGTGTTGGTCTTAACGACCTGGGAGCGTGACCTCAGAGTTCAAGGGACAACTGCTTGAGGCCGGTCACGCACGGCCTTTTTTGAAAGGTTTTTAGAGTATTAGTTCCGATCTTGCTTAAAAGCCCTTACCACCGGAGACAGAAATCCGTGAGGTAAGGTGAAGTGTGACATTTTTAGAGTCGACATTTTCTAACCCTTGCATCCTTCCGTGTGAGAAGGCAGCATTGCTGCAGATGCTGGTTGTCCGAGGGGAACGCCTTACTGCTGTCACATTCCTCCATCACAGTCAGCAGTACGACTTCGCCCTCAGACCTGCAGTAGCTGTTTTTAGTCTCATCGTTCTCCAATCGACCTGCCTGGCACGGTAGAACCTTGAGGAACATATGTTCCAGACAGTATAGCTCGGTTGGGTAATCACGATAGGCAAGCCCGACCACTACGTCAAGGTAGCAGCTACGGTCGAGGCTTTCTCTGAAATTGTTTTAACACTGCTTTTTCTGAATCAGTGTTAAAATAATTTCAGAATAATTTTGCCATAGCAATGTCTGTAATTAATAATTTTCCCTTTTATTGTATTTGTGTATATTCATGTTTTGTAGCCATTGTCATTCAAGTGATGGTCCAAGTGGTTTCGGTTTCGAGTTAACGTTTCGAGTGAGACGCGAACCAAGTGAAAGAAACCCACCAACATGGCCAGCGCATTTATTACAAAGCTTGGCACGTTATGTATTCTATTCACAAGCTCAGCTAATGGCGGGTGACCATATTCCGTGGCCTACATCTCTAGATAAGCAGCCTAATTTTTCATCCCAACAGTCGGAAAAACGACAAAGACATCAAAATTATCATCATCATCAACAACAACAGACGGATAAAGAAACAAATATGATAGAGTTAGACAATGCAAGAAAATCCATTGCTATGGCGGCTGCGGCAACTGCAGCTTCCATATTAGCTGCAAACAGTGCTAAGACAGGTATGGGATCTTCGTCAGCTGCGTTATCCGCACTAACCAATCCTTCGACTTATGCTTCCATGGTTGCCGCTGCTCTTGCCGCTGTCAATAATAAGAACTCGTTAACAACGGACAACTTGAATGATCCAGCGGAGCAAAGTGAAGCTAAAAGTAAACAAACAACTAGTTCAACAAATTCATCACGTATTCACCATATGCTGTTGATAGAAGATCCTCAACTAAAGAAAATAACTACACCATATGGATATGTTCAATTTTTACAGGTATTTACCTTTTTGTGTAATTCTTGTGAATTTTGTTTTCAAATAATAAGTGTAGAATCACAACGGGGTAATTGAATTAGTGCAGTTGTCAAAAGCTTAAAGAAATATTTTATGTTAAACAGTGGAAGCTACTAATTACCATTTTTGCACTTAACAAATGAGTACTGTTAAAGCAAATAAAATAATTAGTTCTCTAAAATTAATATGTTGATATAAATGCGTTCTTATTCTTGTACTCCTTGTGTGTAATCGTTTTTAAACTGGACATTGTATTTTTACTGATTTAACGCTGTGTATTCAATCGAGTCCGTAGAATTCGAACACATCACTCTCTGTTTCATAGTTTAGGATGTAAAGATTTAGCTAATCGAATTGCGAATTAAACTTCTTGTTCATCATCATATTATTATATGTGATAGAGAACTAATCTTCTATGGATTTTTTTCGTACTTTTGACCTTTATTCATAAACTCTGATGTTATCATTGCTATTTTCTTCTATGTAACAACCACACACTCAATCACTGTGTATATGAATTACAATTAATTACGGTAATTACTATAAATAGGTATTGGAATATATCCAGAACAATAATTGATGTGAAATAACATGAATTCATTATAATTCATGGTTGCTCATTAGCTTTTTACAAAAATATATGTAATAACGTGTAACAATGCGGTATAATATAATGTGAAGCATTTGACTTCGTTGACGGAGAAAATTAAAGTACCAAAGATTGATTTGCTTACTGACTACTGTTACCCTTCATGCAGCACAGGCCACCGACCAGAAATCTGTAGTCCACTCTGTCGTGACCTTTTCTTCCCAATTGTTTCCAAGTCCTGTTCATTTTTTAGATATCTGGCTCAAGTTCAAGGCGCAGTATGTTTTTCAGTCTTCCTCCCTTACTTTTGCCTTGCGAATTACAAATTAGGAATTGCTTTATGATGTAATTCAGTGATTTCCACAGTGTGTCTTATCTGCCTCCAGTGTTTTTAATTCACTGCTCAGCTAGAGACTGGTTTGTTCTCTGCTACAGTAGGTTTTTAATGATGGTATCTGAGCAACGAATCTGGATTATTCTGCTCAAACAGCTTTGCGAATACCAGTTTCTTTTGATTTGTGCTTTTGGTACTTCTCCAAGTTACAATCCAACTGTCCTGATATGTGTATTGAAAATTCTAACTGTGGTGTTGGCTGAGTCCCGAACGTTTTTTGATTGTAGTGATGTTAGCCGTACTTTCCCAATTCGTACTTTCACAGCTGCATAAGATCCACCTTGTTTATCAATAATGCTGCCCAGGTATATGACAGTTTCTATCTCTTCAAAAGCTCCGTCAAGTGTGATTTGGTTGGTGTTTTCTTTTTTGTGTCTAAAGTTCCCGCTTCTTTTGTGAATGTGAAAGTCTACTGTTGCTACGTTGGATGTCTTAACCTGATTTTTTGTTGTGTATTGATAGAAGGGCCAGGTCAACTGCGAAGTCCAGGTCGTTTAGCTGCGTGAAAGCTGTCCACTGTACTCCCTTTCTTCCCCTGAGTTGTTGACGTCTACATAATCCAGTCATCAGCAGGAGCAAGAAAAAGGGTGAGGGTTATTAACCTTACTTAACACCGGTCTTTACTTGGGAAGAGGCTATGAGCTGTTCTCGATACACGATCTTGCAGTTTAGTCCATCACAAGGATTCCGTATGGTGTTTATTATCTTCTCAGACACTATAATGTCGAAGTAGCCTCCGCAGTATCATTCTGTCCACGTAACCAAATGCTTTCTCAACACCAGTCAGTCAGTTAATACATGGGAATTCGTACGAAGCTACATCAGTTGAATGACGCAATTGTCGATCCTAATCCCATAGTAATAGAGGTGGTAAAAGTATTTGCAGTAATCGGAGAGATTAGGGTCCGAAGATATTATTCCAGTGAAATAAACTTAAAGAGGGAACGATGAAGATGATGAGGAATTCATAAGATTAGAGTTTGAGAGAACACAAAAATGGATGAGCCTGGGCCATTGCCAACGGTTTCGAGCCATGTCATTCAAGATCTCTTAACCATCGATTACTATCATCTCGGGGGCCGCAACCAGGTAGTCTACAATTAGCAACATGACTCAATCCAGTTGTCAGTGAGTGACTTCATTGATTTGTATCATGTTTTACTCTGGCCGCCACTAGCTTTCTTCCAGCCTATTCCTACACCACAAAACATCGGTCGTCTGGGCAATCGGTGGTTGGGCATACGTAACACGTCCCAACCATCTCAAATGACGAAGTTTCAATAAGTCATCTATTGATCGTCCATCCATACCTAGAACTCGCTCCTAACGACAGCATTGCTTACTTGGCTGTCAAAGGATATACTCGTAATGCTTCGAAGAAATCTATAATCGAAGACTAGTAACCTACGAATGTCCTCTACTCTTAACGGCTATGTTACGTATCCGTATAGTAGGGCGGAGCGAAATGCTGCGCAGTACACTCGTCCTTTAGTCAGCAAACGGATATCTCGCCTACGCCAGAAGTGACGCATGTTGGAGAAAGCCAGTCGAGCCTTCTGTATTCGTGCTGAGATTTCGTCAGTCACCAGGTCATCAGCGCTGATGAAACTCGTGAGATAAGTGAAGCGGTTGACACACTCGACTACTTAACTCCCTATCACTAGTTCAGATGCCAATGTCGGCGTATTCTAGGTTGACAACTGAATCTCTTGGTCAAAGTTCAACTCTTAAAAGTGGGATGATGAAGTTTTCGTATCTGAAAAGACGTCAGCAATAAATTTAAATGAGGATGGAGTAATTGGACAGCCCTGACAAACACCACCCGTATTAATCAATACCGATAACTGTTCTCCATAATTTCTGACCCGACTAGTAGTGTTTGACTGGATAGCCTGTATAAAGTTAATGTACTTCTCTGGTACTCCTTTCAGTGATAGACGCTGCCATAGAACCTCTCGATTGGCAGAGTCGAATAGAACTTAAAAAATATTTTAATTAAAGTTGGTTAGCGACTAGTAATGTGAACTAGGGTCTTTTGGATTATTCAGTGTTCGTAATGGTACTTGAACTCGTCGGCGAATTTCAACTATTCAGTCTTGTTTTTATTTTTCTCACTGACGATTCATAATATCCACTCATTAAGTGACAAATGGTCGATCACTGAGTAGTGATCTATGTTACGTTCATCTCAGAATTTAGTGTTAGTTGAATCTGACTTATTAAATTTCGGTACAGCCACTAGTCTGCTTGACTTGAAATCGCATGCTGTACATTAATTGTATTTTGCTGGTTGGGAGTATTCGAATACCATAGGGAACATCAGTTTCCTCGCGAACTCCCTTACACATGAGTTCAAAATGGTATAAAAAGTAGGTGATGAAGAATCTTCTGCTAACTACTCCTAACTATTCACTGCTTGACAGGTTTTTCACATTCAGTCAGTTTGTTTACTGCAGAAAGTTGAAAAAAACAATGGAATACAAGGAACGTCATCAAATTATATGAGCTTACCAACGATAACAATGAAAACGTTGAAGATCAATTCTACGAGAGGCTGCAGTAAATCGCTGAGAAATCCCCAACAAGCGACTTCACATTCTGATGAAAGACCTAAATGAGATGGACTACATTGAAAATGAAGACATCATGCGACAATATGTACTGGAAAACACAGACGAAGACGGTGAGAGATTTGCAAACCTATGTGCCTTCAACAAACTGGTCATCCGCGGCACAATATTCCCACACAAACGCATACACAGAGCTTCATGGATTTCACTCAATCACACTACTCGGAACCAAATTGACCATATCTGTATCAATGAAAAGTTCTGCAGGACCATGGAGAACGTGAGAACTAAGAGAGCAGCTGATATAGCCTCAGATCACCACTTGCTGGTCGCCAAAATGAAACTGAGACTCAAGAAACACTGGACAACGGGGTGGACAACATCACAAACTCTTAATACGGCCTTTCTTCGGGATACTGGAAAGCTAAACGAATTCAAGAGAGCCCTCAACTATAAGTTCCAGGCCTTGCACAATCAACTCAATGTAAAGGAAACTACCATGGAGAACAGTTGGAAAATGATCGAGGAAGCAATCACTTCAACATATCCGGAGGTTTTGGGCCACAAGAAATGAATCTCTGCTAGTACTCTTGAAAACATTTGAGGAAGGAGGAATAATAAGGCAGAAATCAGCATCAGCCGAACATGAGCAGGGAAAGCCAAGGCACATGCTGAATACACAGAAGCAAAGAAGCAAGTGAAGAGGAGCACGGGAGCCGACATACGTAAATATGTGGAAGACATAGCAATGACAGCGGAAAAGGCTGCAAGAGAAGGAAAATTGAGACTATTGTACGATACAACAAAGAAGCTCGTTGGAAGCTATCATAAACCAGTGAGAAGCAAGGGAGGTAGAGTAATCAGAAACACTGAAGAACAGCGAAACAGGTGAGTAGAGCACTTTAAGGAATTCTTGGATCGAACACACCTCCTGAACCCATATATTATCGAAGCAGCATCCACGGACCTCCCAATCGATGTTGACCCATCAAAGATTCAAGCGATCAGTATGGCCATCAGATAAATCAACAGTGGCAAAGCAGAAAGAACAAATAACATACCAGCTGAGGCACTGAAAGCAGACATAGCAGTAACTGCAAAGAGATTCCACGCTTTCTTCACCAAAATTTGAGATTAAGAACAAGTCCCAACAAACTGGAAAGAAGAATACTTCATCAAGATTCCAAAAATGGTGATCTCAGCAGGTGTGAGAACTACAGAAGCATCATTTTTCTTTCAATACCAGGAAAAGTCTTTAAAAGAGTGTTGTTAAACAAAACGAAGGACTTCATAGACTGCTAAACTTTGAGATCAACAGGCTGGATTTCATAAGGATCGATTGTGTACCATCAAAATAGAAAACTACAGATGATAATTGAACAATCCACTGATTGGAACACATCCCTGTACATCGACTTCCGTGACTTTGAGAAAGCATTTGTTTTCGTAGACAGAATGATTCTGCGGAGGCTCTTTCGACACTATGGTGTGCCTGAGAAGATAGTAAACATCGTACGGAATTCTTGTGATGGATTAAAGTACAAGATCGTGCATCGAGGACAGCTCACATATTCATTCTAAGCTAAGACCAGTGAAAGGCAAGGTTGCTTACTCTACACTTTTATTGTTTAGTTAGTAGATGCTTCGAGAAGGCATTTGACAGCGTGGACTGGATGACACTATGGAGGCTCGTTTGACACTATGGCGTGCCTGAGAAGTTAGTCTACATCATACAGAATTCTTATGATGGACTGAACTGCAAGATCTTGCACGGAGGACAGCTCACAGACTCGTTCGAGGTGGAGACCGGTGTCAGACAAGGTTGCTTACTCTCACCCTTTCTCCTGGTGGTCGACTGGATTATTAGGACGTCAACACCTGGTGGGAAGTGCAGGATTAGTGGACAGCTAGGATGCAGTTTGACGATCTAGATTTCGCAGTTGATCTGGCTCTTCAACTCCGCACACGACAACAAGTGCAAGAGAAGACGATCAGTGTAGAAGCAGCCTCAGCGGCAGCGCTCAGCATACATCTTTGGATCATTTTCCTGTTTATTATTATATCTCTATCGCGTAATCAGTGTACATCGTTTTATTATGCATTATTATTCTTCGTGTTTTAAGCTTTAAGCGAACCTCTTAACTGTCGTTAGACGTTTATTATTCCATAATTATCACTGATTGGATACTAACTATTTGCTACGCACTCTACCATATGGTGTAATTGTGTCCAAATTATGACTTTTGGTGTACTGTGTAGTCTGGTAATTCATGTATCTAGTCGGTGTTTGAGATAGTCGTTGGCTGAACTTGTTGGTGTGAGTATACACATTGTAGAAGCTGGCTGCTGACCTCTTGAACTCAAGACAGGAGAGAGAAGCGTGTGGGCGACAGACCAATAAGAATATAGCTTGTGATGGCTTAAGGCTAATTGTACAAGTTACAACAAGTAACTTGTTAAGTCTAGGGTGACTAAGTACAGACGGAATAGTGGACGTTCGTTAGAAAAAACCATTGTCAGAGTTCTAAATGGTGAATTTAGCTCTAGATATCGGTTAGCATCTCAAGTCATAACAATATGATCATTCACAAAGATTAAACAGTATGGCATTGATTAGTACTCAACAAACAATTCGTGTAACCATTTCCGTTCTACCGTAGGTTACTCGAAACTCAGTGGTAAGGCGTTCGGGTGTGAGATAAGTTCGAACCCTAGTGAAGGTGCCAGTAACCTTAATGTTGCTAGCATTAGGCCTAATTCATCACTTTATCGTTGACTGTTTTCAACCACTTGACAGATGTGATCTTAATATATTGATAAGAAATACTTATATTTAAGTAAGTTTAAATTTTGTTCATACGTTAATTGAAGAGCTAATGATATTAATGATTATTCAGTATTTGGAATTTGCTATATCGAGAAAACCGATACACAGTTACAAAAATTGGACGGTTGTATCGGTTTATGAAGTTAATGACCGTTGGTTGGAACTAAGTGCAAACTACTCGGTCGACTCAAGTACCTCTGGTGCGACTAATGATGACAGTACTCAGAATTGATCAAAATGGAGCAAATGAGTTTCCTTTTTATCTTTCTCTAGACCTTTCCAAACTATTTTATCACTTTGAATTGGATATGATTATCCCGTTCTTTAAAACAATTAGTTCCTTTTATAAATTTTGATAGAACAGCGAGACGAGGTAATTGATCTGAAAATTGTAATTGTTCAAAATGTATAGTGCAAAAAATATATCACATTTTTCAGATCAATTACGTCTTCTCGCTGTTGACATCATGATTGAATTTTGATTGGTCTCAGTTGGCATATGTGCATAATGGCTTGATATGGCAAATTATGACACAAGTTAGTAAAGAATAGATAAAATACAGTTAACAGTAACAATAATGGTGACACGGCCAACTCTTCTGACCACTCGCGCTTCTGTCCATGAACCATGGTTTGGTCTATTGTCACGGGCAAACATGGGGTCCATCATATCGAACTGGACTGTTCCTGTTGCAAAACATCACTCCATTGTCACTATTCATGCGTTTCATACAAATTCCATTGTGTTCTAACTCTTCCTTTCTTGATCTTTCCCCATATTATGCTGCCAGACATTACGTTGGCACTCACGTCATATATTACTTATAAGTAGCTCGCACCACAGTATGTGGTTCATCATCGATTTTTTAGACTCGTAAATATCTCTCGTTGTATCATATCAAACGAATACTGAGTTTATCATGCAAAAAGAACGTTTTACGTTGGGAAATATGATTCTTTTAAACAGCACATTACTTTAAGTAACAATTGGTCAACTATCAATCTCAATACATTCTGTTAAATATTTTCTGAAGATAATCTAAAACAGTAAGTCGTCAAGTTATCTTCTAGACTTTATATTCATTTATTACTTTTCGCTGTCAATAATGTTTCCTTAGATTAAATTTAAATTTCTTTTATTATTTAGTTGGTTGGTCTTTGCGATGAAGAATTGCGTTTAGTTCAACGTTGGACTGGTTCTCATGTTGCTGAACTAATGAGTAGTTCAGTAGAAACTGGTGGTTGTCTTCTTGTCACAGATATGAAAAGGAATTTAAATATTTTTGAAATACAGCCAAATTTAGTGGATTATATTAATGACAAATTAAAACGCGAAGGTTCAAATTTATCTGGTGTTACAACATCTTATTTTGCATGGGCACCAATAACTATGGTTACTTTAGGTGAGCTACTACCAGGTGAGATGGAGTCTCGTCGATTACGTCGTCAAACACAGAGACGTGATTCATCTTCAACTAGTCTGTATTCATCGAAATCAGAAGTTCAGTCTGGATCCAAGATTTTATTGTTTCATAACCCCGCAACTGATCATACTACTCACAAATCAGATACTGATATTGCATCTAAAACTGTGGCTATGGACACTGATGATACATTAGTATCGTTTGCAGCAAAAAAACGAATGGAAGATGATGAATTTGTAGATGTTGTTGGCGTTGGTGGCAATGGTGTTAGCGATGAAACATTACAGAAATTGACAGCCGCAAATTATATCAACGTATCTACTAGTGCTTTACCTTCAATGTCTCCTGAATCTAATTCCCTAAAAATTTCTCGATTTGAATCAAAATCTCGTGTTTCTTTAAGTAATAGGTTGAGCTCCGGACACTTAACTTCAGACTGTTTTCCACATTCATTAGGAAATCGAACTGTAACCGATGGGCAAACTATCAGCGCACCTGGTGGATTCTCTGCTTGGTGCAGTCGAGTTGGTCCTGTTAATCATTTCAATCAATCATCTATAGGTAAGCTTAAATAAGCATTCTATTTTGTTTTTGCAACTAAGAATATTTTCTAACAAGCCGTGATGACCGGATTTTCATACTGAAAAATCGTACAGAAAGCATTAGAAATAGGTATTTCCTTTGAAAGTATCGACTTTTCCCGCCTAATTCATTAGTTCTCTTTAATTGAAATAGATTAATTTCTTTGTTTTGGACTCGCCTTTTCGGTTATTGTTAAGCGCTACTAATGATATGGATGTAGATCCCCAATTGCCGAAGCCCTGTGTTTTTTGGTTTACCTTGTAATGCAGTTTAGTGATTTCTTCAAAATGTCCTGCTCATTCCGAACATCTTTTCTGTGGTCCATTGTATCTGGATTATGTTGTTGGTGATTCCGCTGGGGGCGTAGTATAGAAAGAAGTCAAGACCATATGATATATATATATATATATATATATATATATATATATATATATATATATAAAGACATTTTGTTTACGAATTATGCACACAGTCATTAGTTATCGGTTTGCAATCCAAGAAGTTATTGACTGTCTTTGGGTCCTCAAAATACTCATTCTTTCACGCGTTTCGATCGTCTGATACTTCTTTCTCTGGTAGCAGATAGTAGATCTCCGGTCCTTAGGAAATCTAGCATTTTGATTTCCCAGTTTGCTAAAGTAACACTGTTGAAGACTTTGACTACTGATGACAGTGTGATATCGCTGAAGTTCTCACAATCACTAAGATTTCCTTTCTTTGTAATCTTGATGAGATCCTTCTTCTCAGTGTTTTAGTACTGCTTTTTTCCTTCCAAATCTTTCTGAAGAAAACGTGGAACATCTTGGCAGTTATTTCCAAACAAAACATCTGTAGTTTGACTGGTGTGTTGTATAGCCCTGTTGCTTTACCGTTCCTGATTTGTCAGATGATTGTACTGATTTCTTCCACTGTTGATGGGCTAAAATTCATGGTTGCAGGGTTTCGGTCAGACAAAATTAAGATGTATGTCAATATACTTTGGCTTATGTTCAAACTAAAAATTATCGTATGTATAGATATATTATCATAAGGACCTCAGATTAATAATTCAAGTTATGTATAAGGAAACATGAGGTTACAGAGACAAAAGCACATTAAATTCATACAGTACCCCACTATCTGTGTAGAATTTTTATTTCAGATATTTACCCTTAGCCCATAAAGCTTTCAATTCGTTTATTTTTTTGGCTTTTACATTGGTCTTCAAGACATAAACAAAGTTGGCGCAAACATTCCATCTGAAGGAGGTGGAATATTCAAAAACAACTTGGTCAGTTCATCTACAGAACTGACCAGTTTAGTTGGCGGTGCGCTTGGTTTCCGAACATTCAACTCAGAACTACCAATATCCAATAAGATTACAGATAAATTCGTAGATACTGCTTTTGAGCCCAAAGGCGGCAATGTTACACCTGGTGGTGGTAGTACTACTACTGGTGACGGTTCTGCACCATGTACACCTTTAGCACACTTATCACTTTCTCCGGCAAGTTTGGAAATGATGCCAACACGAATTATAGATTATTTAGATGTGCATTTGTGTCGCGAAGCTGGTGAAATGCTTCCGTTGGCGGTGAATGACCGACTACGTCATGGAAGACATTTTACTTTTTTAAATGCAAATTATCCAGATCATGCTATTACATTAGTACCATCTGGTGTTTCTGGAGCCTTTGTTAGCGAAGAAACACCATATGTTGCTCGTGGACCATGGCTACAGGTAAGAGGAATTCAAATGCATTATTTTATCGAATGAAGAGTTTTTGAAGAATTATTACCTTGAGTGAAGTGTAGTAACTCACAAGAGGCTAGTATCTTGTAGTCGATTATAACTTGCTGACCTGAAATCATCTCTTCAAATACCGATTTCTTCACTTTTATTATCACTTTTCGTTAGGTTTTATGTATTCTACTTAAATTATCAAGAGAAATTTCAAGGATATTAAAACATCTGGTGGATGAATCCAACTACTCCACTAAGTCTGCCACAGAATTCTTGGATAAACTCAAGAGGATTCAAATTGACAACGACGAAATGATGATATCCTTCGACGTAACAGCCTTATTTACCTCAATAGAGCCAAGCTTGGCTAAAGAAACTCTTTCTCTGCTCCTCATCAACGACACAAATCTATACAAATATACAAAGCTTCAGAGTCAAAGTCTGCTTGAACTCATCGACCTATGCTTAACAACGTATCTTTAATTCAACAACAGAGTCTACGAACAAATAAAAGGAACACCAATGGGATCACTAATATCAGGACTCATCGCCGAAGCTGTAATGCAGAGACTAGAAGCGTCGATTCTGCCAGTGATCAAGCCAAAAATGTGGGTTCGCTATGTAGACGACACATTCGTTATTATCGAAAGGAATGAGCTGGAGAACATCTACAATCGGATCAACAACGTCTTCGATGACATCAAATTCACAACCAAAACAACCAGCTCAGAGAACGAAACACCACCACAATCATCCACCTGAGCTACAAGTTTTCTCCACCATCTTAACCCCTTTTTTATGAATTCATTGAAAACTAGGCAACGCTGAATTGTTACTTCGTATATCGTGGAACAATCGAGTAAGCAACACTGTTGTTAGAAAATGAATACTGGGTATGGATGGAAGATCAATAGATGACTTATTGAAACTTCGTCATTTGAGATGGTTGGGACGTGTTACGTATGCCCAACCACCGATTGCCCAGACGACCGATGTTTTGTGGTGTAGGAATAGGCTGGAAGAAAGCTAGTGGCGGCCAGAGTAAAACATGATACAAATCAATGAAGTCACTCACTGACAACTGGATTGAGTCATGTTGCTAATTGTAGACTACCTGGTTGCGGCCCCCGAGATGATAGTAATCGATGGTTAAGAGATCTTGAATGACATGGCTCGAAACCGTTGGCAATGGCCCAGGCTCATCCATTTTTGTGTTCTCTCAAACTCTAATCTTATGAATTCCTCATCATCTTCATCGTTCCCTCTTTAAGTTTATTTCACTGGAATAATATCTTCGGACCCTAATCTCTCCGATTACTGCAAATACTTTTACCACCTCTATTACTATGGGATTTTGATCGATAACAGCGTCACTGTACTATTGTGGTATGGCAACTTGAACTGATGTACTTACATAAGAATCACTACGTTCATGTACACTTACATATATGAGATCCAGTTAGGATGACTGGATTTTCATTTCTAAGATGAACCACATTTATATATAGCAGACTGTACAGTACCTTCTTCATTTCCGGAACTCACTTGGAAATTTTGAATTTCAATGTTTTAGCACACAAGTCACTTGGTTGACCCTGAGCTTACATTTCCCACTCAGAAAACCCTAATCGTCATTGGTTGATGGATTATTTTAGTACGCTTATTTGTGACTCTCTGAATGTGTTGTTATCATTGTATGAAGAAACTTGAGTTGTGTGTTTATACACCTTGAATTTTTCGAGTGCTTGTAGAATTCATTGTTTACTACGTGTTAAGACTTCTTGATAAAGTTAGCAGGGCCAGGTACAACGGATTAGAATAGCCTACCGTGTTTCTGCATCATTTGTCTGCGCTCTCATGTACCGATTAAGGTGAACTTGTAGTAGTTTCAAACATATCAATTGACGAGCATATCAGATTTGTATCGACACTTTCATTTCTGTGCTAATGTGGTATGGCAACTTGAACTGATGTACGTACGTACGAAGTACTGCGTTAATGTACAATCACATATATCTAATCCGAATGAGATGACTGGATTTTCATTATTAAGATGAAATACATGAAGATATAACTAGCTGTACAGGTCTTTCGTGATCACTCTAATTATTTAAAAAATTTTTTCTTCTTTAAGTATATCGGTAATTTGATTTTTAATGATAGAAATTTGTTGCCAAATTGGTTTGTTTTTTCGTTTTGTTTTTTGCTAACTTTCTGTAGATTTTATTAACAGACGATTTTCTAGAACAGTTGGAATTTCAATTTTCATGTTTATTATATCCTAATGAACTGTATTTACCGTTAGTTTTTCGTTGGCCAGAAAGACATTTACGTATATGCTTGGTTGATGTCAGTTCATCGTCATCATCATCATCATCATCACCACCACCACCACCATCAGCAGCAGCAGCATCATCAAGCAGAGGTTTAACACAAAAACCTATTCCTCCTTCACAGACATCATATATACCTTCCACTTTACCAAACTCTGTATCTTTGATGAAGAATAATGATACCAATCATATTAGTAATAGAAATTTAAACAATAACAATAGTGTGCATACATTGAATACTCCTACCACATCTGGTATTCATTGTAATTGGAATACACCAGTGATAGATAATAGATTGATATTTGGTAATAACAGTTGTAGTGTTGGAAGTACTATACAGTCTTCAGTCATATCGAGTTCATTCGTAAAATCGGATTTAATCCCTTCATTCCTGTCATTATTTCCACCGGGATGTATACCACCACCAAACGTCTTATCAACATTATTCAGTACAATGGCTACAAATAATCTTAGTTGCATTAGTGACAATAATAATCAGTCCCAAACAGAAGTATTCAGAAAGTCTTTTTTTCCAATAAATCAAATTGAATCTCCACCAACAGCGACATTTCAAGCATCATCATCATCATCGCCTACATCAATTATTCAACCATCCTCATCAACGTTGCCGAATTCATCTGATATACATCATCAACTAGCTCAACAACAGCAACAAACACAACAACCAGGTACATCATGTCCTTCTACTGACCTAAAAGTTGATAACCTAATCGATCCTAGTGTATTTGTTAATAACTGGTCAGTAATTTTACAGACACTAATGACTAATAATAATAATAATAATATTAATATAGACTTATTGAAACAAATAATATCTGGTAGTCTGAATAGTAGTGGCGCTACTATTAATAATTGTTTGCACTAATTCGATTGCTTATTTCATGGAGTTTATGCAAAATATTTCTTCTACTAACAATAATAATGGCGTCAATATGCTGTCTTCTCTAGCCTCGTTAACAGCACTGACTATATCCGTAACATCATCATCATCACCATCATTGTCAGTTAAGAAGCATTTCTAAGTTTTGTTTGTACTGACCTGTTGACACTTATGTAAAACATGCTTGAAATATGCATCAAAATTGCAAACCGATAAAAATCAATTGACTGATTTTGTATTTTCACTTCGATGAAAAGGAAAGCGCCAAACAACTTTTTTTTTTAAAACACAGCCTATCAGTTTTTTATTTTGAATGGAACATTTTTTCAATAACTCAAACATTAATTTTCTCTGCCTTGATAAATTCGAGAAGCGCCATCTCATTATCCATCGATCTATTTATTCTTGCATACTTGTTATCCTTGTTGTTTTTACTGCTTTATTACTTGGTCATTATTTTATGGGAACTAGTATTGGAATATACCATGTGAACACCTATGCAATACACTATATACACTGATTTTAATAGTTCTAATTTTTTTTCTTATTTATTTGGTGATCCAACCAATATCTATGCATCTTTTTATGTTAGTGAGCATTTGTTTCTTTTCTTACACTTACTGTCGATAATGTTCACTTTTGGATTTATTTATTTGTGTGTATTTTTTTTAAAAATTTCATTTTCTCCAACAGTAACCGGTTGAACTTCATTGCCTTTAGCGATTATATATATATATATATATATATATATATATATATATATATATATATATTTGCGTGTTCATTTGTTTTTACTAATAAGATAAACGTTCATTGTTCTGTTTTGATTCATCAAACAATTCATTTTTTAAACTGTACAATGTGTATTCGTTTGTGTAGGTCTATTGCGCATTTCATCCTTGATATTATTTTATTTGTCAACAAAACTTGTTGTTATCAATTTTTTTTTTGCTGAAATGAGGTGAAGAATTGAGATGGAGTAGTGGAAGAGTGGAGTTGGATTTCTGGTCTTCTATATTATATTTTCTATCGAACTATTAGAAACTAATTAACATTCTCATTGTTAGTATTTCTAATAATCATTATCATGCTACCCGAATGGTGCTCTTCATTGCCTCTTTTTTGTCTGGTAACGTGAGGGCATGAAATCTATGAATATTTCTAAAGAGAAGTATTCTGTAGATAGACAAAAGTACGTCTATCTATAATGGTTTTTGATTTTCAAATTTATTACACGACAAATCAATGTCAAACAAAAAAATTATTTCACAAATTAGAGAATCCAATCATACAGTCGACGTATAGGGCTGACTTTGCATGTAAATATTTTTAAATGAATCGCATGCAGATGATGAAATAATTAATTTCCGTTTTATTTTAGGTTGGAGCTGTTTTTAAGTCAGACAAATCAAACATTGGTTATATTTTTTATAATGTGGTAGTGAACGAGTGTATTTTGTTAATTAAATTTCTGATTTATTCAAACTTCTTCGATTTACATTTTCTGTGTAGTTGCTAATGTTACTTCTCATTTAACAGAACGGAAATAGATTGATTAGGTCAGAACCTAAGTACCATCACAAGGAATGGATCTCTGTTGGTACTCTTGCAAAAATTGAAGGAAGGAGGAACAAGATGACAGCAATCAATGTCAGCCGAACAAGAGCAGAGAAAGTTACCGCACAAGCTGCATACACAGAAGCAAACAGGGAAGTGATGAAGAGCATCAGAGTTGACAAACGAAAATATGTAGAAGATCTAGCAATGACGGCGGAAAAGGCTGCAAGAGACGGAAACTTGAGACAATTATACGAAACAACAAAGAAACTGGCCGGAAACTATCGTAAACCAGAACGACCAGTGAAAAGCAAGGAAGGGAAAATAATCAGCAACACTGAAGAACAGCGAAATAGGTGGGTAGAGCACTTTCGGGAACTCCTGAATCTACCAACTCCACTGAACCCACCCAACATCGAAACAGCATCCACGAACCTCCCAATCAATATTGGCGCACCTACAATTGAGGGGATCAGTATGGCCATCAGACAAATCAAGAGCAGCAAAGCAGCAGGACCAGACAACATTCCAGCAGAGGCAGTGAAAGCAGATGTAGAAGCAACTGCGAAAATATTTCACAACCTCTTCAAGAAGATTTGGGATGAGGAACAAGTACCATCAGATTGGAAAAAAGGATACCTGATGAAAATACCAAAGAAAGGCGATCTCAGCAAGTGTGAGAACTACACAGGCATCACTCTTCTTCCAATACCAGGCAAATTCTTCAACAGGGCATTGTTAAACAGAATGAAGGACTTCGTAGACATCGGTGCAACTTCGAGATCAACAGGCCGGATTTCGTAAGGATCGATCATGTACTGACCGAATTGCTACATTACGGATCATTGTGGAACAATCAATTGAATGGAACTCACCACTCTACATCAACTTCATCGACTACGAGAAAGCATTCGATAGCGTGGATAAGAAAACACTGTGGAGGGTTCTTCGACACTACGGTGTGCCTGAGAAGAGAGTTAACATCATACGGAATTCTTATGATGGATTCAACTGCAAAATCGTGCATAAACCACAGCTGATGGACTCGTTTGAGGTGAAGACCGGTGTCAGGCAAGGTTGCTTACTCTCACACTTTCTTTTTATCCTGGTGACCGACTGGTTATGAAGACGTCAGCTTCTGAAGGGAAGCACGGTATTCCGTGGACGGACAGCTAGAATGCAGCTGGACGATCTGGACCACAAACCCTGTGAATAAATCGAGTGAAATCTCAAATAAATATATCGTTTCTATATTCAATCTCCTATTGGGTTTGTATTTCATATCAAAATACAATCATGAAGTTGTGATCAATTCTTGACTGTCCCTACAATCATTACACACACCTTTGAACAATCCAGTCCTGAAAATCTATTGTAGTGAAAAAGTCAATTTGTTGTCCTTTATATTTGGATGAAGTTATAATGGTAAACTTTTAGTTTTATAAAAGACTATTTATAGATTAAATAGACAGATGGTAGTTATCTATACATTATCATTATTCAGTGCAAACTAAACTGGATGGGGACTATGATTCACACCTTTTTATTTCACTGTTTAATTGGACATAATGTCAAGTAAACATCTCTATGATTTTTCTCGAATAATTGAATAGCCCAAATATATTGTATAATAAAATCCTAAATTGACTTATAGAATAAACATTGTAATTTTTCTCATACATGATTCTGATAATAGGATTTATTAATAATTTTGCATAAAGATTATTTAGTACGTAAAATGATAGAAATGTCATCACAATTCATTCATTTATCTAACTAGCTACAGTTTGCTAAGACATATGATTCGATTCGATTACGGAAACAGAAGTAGGTGGATTGAGGTTTGAACATTAAACCTATTATTGTTAAAACTGCAGAGTTACGTGTATAATGGTAAAAACTGGCATAATGTGTATTTGATTAAATACATAGATGTTGTACTGTACATGTTTTTTTTCTATGATATTTACTTTGTTGGGGACGTTAGATCCCCAGAACTTACTTGAAAAATATCTCAATTTTGTATTTATTAAGGTTTTCGCGCATGAGTTGCTGAGTTGTAGTGTCTAAGCAAACGACTCAACCTTATTTAAATAATGATAAATCGCACTTGTTGAGAGCCACAAAATTGTTGGGGGACGTTTGATCCCTAGAACTCACTTGGAAAGGTCCTAATATTGTAATTTTATTCGGAAGTTTTGAATTTCAATGTTTTAGCGCACATGTCACTTAGTTGACCCTGAGCTTACATTTCCCACTCAGAAAATCCTTAATTGTCATTGGTTGATGGATTATTTTAGTACGCTTATTTGTGACTCTCTGAATGTGTTGTTATCATTGTATGAAGAAACTTGAGTTGTGTGTTTATACACCTTGAATTTTTCGAGTGCTTGAAGAATACATTGTCTACTACGTGTTAAAACTTCTTGATAAAGTTAGCAGGGCCAGGTACAACGGATTCGAATAGCCTATCGTATCACTGTATCGTTGACCTTCGTTCCGTTCACTGAGTAAGGTGAACTTGTAATAGCACTGAAACATATCGATTGACAAGCATATCAAATAGGCGACGGTGGTTTTTGAAACATGGATCCTGCCAAACTTGAACTATTACTTGAGCAGCAGCTGTTGACAGATTTTGCCCCCACACAGTTTAGCACATATAATGCAACCACAGGACCATCAGTGAACTGCATCGCAAATAACATTGCCGAGTTTCACTATGATCCTGATGCCAACGTTACTTTTGACATGAAAATGTATTTTAATTTCATTTTGCCAATCAAGATGATGCTTGGAAGGTTTGGCTGCTACTTCGAAAGTCGGATGCAAGTGAGCTAGTCAAGTACTGTAATTTGATCCTGCTTTTGAACCCACGTGATCGCTCATTCTCAGACACATTCCAGACTTCAAGCCAACAGTTCGGCGGCAACTCGTCATCGTTTGATACTCGTTGTCGATGTTTGAAGCCAATTATGAACGAAGACGATGATTATTTTAGGCATGAGGGTGTCGTAAACCGTGAATGCTAACGCTTCCGGTGGAAGTCTTTGTTTGAAGACCAGTTTAAAGCCTTAATATTCATTTGCGGCCTCCAGTCCCGAAATTTCAGTGACATAAGAGCACGGCTACTGTGTCAGTTGTATCAAGATCCTAAAGACATCCTTAGTGACATGGCCAATCAATAGCAGCGCCTCATTAATCTGCAACGAGGCACGACTATGGTTCAGAGTGGTTAGTCTAGTCGATCTGCAGTGCATTTAGTACAGCAGGCACAACTAGAATAAATGTGCCCTCGCTGCACCCACTCCAGCTCAGTCCGAAAGCGAATCACCCTGCTCCTTGCTGACACTGTAGTTCATAGTAATATGCACGAAACTGCCCATTTAGACAGCATCGATACAAGAAGTGTAAGGTCTCCGGTTATA